TTTTCCCACAGTGATCGCAGCCCGTCAGATGTAAATCCAACCTCAATGAGTTCAAAATGAAGAGCGGAAGCTGAAGTAGTGTTGACAGAAAGGGATGCTGAATGGACCAGCACTGTAACGTTATGGCCCATGCTTGCCAATTCTTCAGTCACCAGTTTCAGATTCATCCAGTGGCTGTAATCTGCAGGCCACACCAGCACCTTCCCAGAAAGCACATTCTCTGTCAGCAGGGAGAGGCAAAGAAATATCTTGCAGATGCACTGCAAATGTAGCATCCCTGCAGCAGCTGTGAATCAGCAGACAAAGGCTATGTTCAGACAGGGATCCGCCTTAAAAGGGTGAGTCATACAAAATTCATGTTGTCAGTAAGAAACATCCCATGATTTATGAAACACCCATCTCTTTCTGGAAAACCTGGATGGAAATTCTATTCAGCATGGAATAACTTCGCAGATCCCCCTATCAGACGGTACAAGCAGTGAACACTGAACTTGCTGTTCCATGTGATTTTAAAACTAACGGCACAACAGGGAGTTAGGCACCCACTGACTTTTAATCAGAGATAAGGGCCAGATTTACAAAGGTATTTAGGTGCCTAATGAGGCAGATAGGTGCGTAAACTGCTTAGGTGCCTAGTGGTATTTAGACAAATGCCTAACTCCCCTTAGCTTCAAAGGGTGTTAGGCACCTAACCTGCTTAGAATGAAACAGCTCTAAAGCAACACTGTTTGACCACACACCCAAATAGGGAAATGGTTTGAAGAACTTGCCTCCTCTACAGCATCCCCAGTGATCAAGGATGTCTTTCAGATGGTTAAATTGGTCTGCAGCTTGGGGTCCTTCTGGACTCCGTGTTATTGGCTGGCCAAATAACCCTGGCAGCAAATAATGCCCACCCACTTCCACCTGCTGAAGAGAATGAAATACATATGTGCTGCAAGACCAGGGCTCTGTTGAAAAGAAAGGGTTTGCAGGTAGCCTGTTCTCTCAGCAATTGGGTGGCTGAAGGAGGCATGCTGTGGCCATTGAACCTGAACTGCACTCCAAGTTCAGTGTCCTTGGCAGAAATTGGAGAATGAGCGACAGGCCTGTTGCTACTATCTGCCTCTGATAAATGGGTTCCCTCTTTTTAGGAAACATTCCCCTGAGTAGTACAGCTAATTTAGACGCTGCTCTAACTTTTCTGGGGGCCCCTCTCCTTCAGCCGCCGTGCAAGCTGGGACCTGGGGGACTCTGCCCCTCTGACACTGGGTCTGAGCTCCTCTCCCTGCCCCCCATACGTGAGCCAGGATCTGAGGGCCCCTGCTCCTTTGGGGGAAGGGGAGTTGAGCTCCTTTCCCTGACCCCCTGGGATCTGAGGTGACCCAGACACTGTACAGTGGAGATAATAGCACTTCCTTACCTCACAGGGGTGTCGGGAGGATAAATACATTAAAGATGGTGAGATGCTCAGATACTACAGTAACACAATACAAATAAGTACCTGAAATGGAACTAGACTATGCAATGAGATGTTTGGTATAAGAGCTGTATGCTCTTCTTTATGCCCCTAGGTGACAGTAACGTACCGTAGACTGGATTTTAAAGTCTTTGGTAAAGCCTGTAGCTTTTTTCCTGGTAACCTATTTTCTCTGCACTTAAGAAATCACTTAAAGTCCCTTTCACTGTGAGAGAAAAATAGCTTCTAAGCTTCTGCATGGCAATATTTCTCATTGCTTGCCAAGTCGCATTGTTGTTGTCCTAATGTCTTTCATTGCAGCTTATGTGTACTGTTTGGATCATTCTTTCCTTTTTCATTCTCTGTCCGTTCTTCCCCTACACAAGCAGACAGATATTGTAATGGAATAGCTATGGGAAACCACGGTGAGTCAAGTGATCTGCCAAGATTGCAATGTGACAATAGAGGTTCATTTTCTTGAAGCATTAAGGGCTCGATCTTGCAAGGTGCACTGAGGCTCAGTCAGGTACTGGAGTCAGTGGGAGTTGAAGGTGCAGTTCAAACCTATTAAAAGGTCACCCACTGATCATAAGTAAACTATCAGTGTTACAACACAGATTAGCTCCACTGACAACAATTCAGAACAAGGGTTCTATGTGAAATGACAGACATTGCAGTGCCCTCATTGCTTATTACCGGATGCAGTGTATGTAAGCATAATTTGTTTTGAAAAGAGAGGCTTGGTTTTAACTAAGCTGTGATGTACGTATGGGCTTTGGTTACAAAGCCACGCCTGATTTCAGTATACCCACTGAGAACCTCTGAATTTTCCTCTCACTCACCCAGCCAACTTGCCCATGCTGGAAAGGAATGGCAGAGTATATTTTATCTTCAGCTGTTTATCCACAACTGATCTGTAGCACTGACACAGAGAAAACTTGAAAGTCATCTTCACTATATTCATAGATTTTAAGGCCAGAAGGGATCATTAGAGCATCTAATCTGATCTCCTATGTAACACAAGCCAGAGAATTTCACCCAGTTACCCCTGTATTGAGCCTTGTATCACAGAAGAGCCTCCAAAGTTAACATATCTTGCCATTAGGGGAAAATATGGCTTGGGTTCTGGGTCATGTTAGTGCTACCCAATATGGAAGCGGTTCGTGAAGGAGAGTATCCATGGTGGTTGTTTAGAACATCGTGGCAGTAGTCTCTCTATAATTTAGGCTGTAACTAAGATTCTAAAAATGCCCCAGCAATGACAGTTCATTCTGAATGTTGGCAGGTTGTGCCGTGGGCCAGGGTTGGCTTCATAGGGAGAATCTCAAGTCAGTTGAACTAGGGATTCCAAAGAAACAGCACACTAAAAAATTGACTCTTTTCAAAATAAAAAAAGATTGTAACATTTTCTGCTCACCCTTCGTGAGGGGTGAAATGTCTACCCCTGTGCTTTTGTAGCTGACATCTTGTGCCTGGGGCCACAAAGAAAATTTGGTACATAAATTATTAGGCTTTTTTTTTTTTTTTGAGCTATGGAAAGGCCATAGGGACTGCTGGTGATCCATAGACAAAGGTCAGACTACGGGATCTGTCTGGCCTTAAAAATCTATGGATATATGGCTCACGAGCATTGTGTGAAGGTTCCTGACTGAGTTCATCACTAAGTCTCCTCTGAACCTAACAAAAAGCACAGAGGGAATGGAGAAAATGATGTGCTTGCTTGCTTCTCAGCTGGATTTGAACCCAGGACCTCCAATTCCACAGTACAGACCTTTACCACATGAGCTAAAACAGTAACTACCTCAATTAGCTAGCAGCACTTGTAGGTTTTATTATCTTATGGGGACCAGCCACTTGAAGGGGACACATAACAGCACTGAACCAGTGGGTTACACTTATATACTCCCATCAAACATCCTTTGGTCTCGGAGCAGCACTGGACTAGGGACTAGTTCTTCTGGTGTCACCTCTTCCAACACCTGGCACTAGTAGTTACCTCACACCCCTTATTACTGAGCTAGTCATTGTGTCCATGTGCTGGAAGAGAAACAAGCATCATTAGCCCTCTTTTAGAGATGGGATAACTGTAGTCCACAGGAGACACAAGTTCACTTCTGGCACTGCTGGGAATAGAACCCTGGTCTCTCATCTATCCTCTTGTAAGTATACATTATAACACACTTTAATTACATAATTACATGCAATTTGTTCTATAGGACCTCTACCTCATTGAGTGCATCAGCAGGACAGTAAATGAGACAGACAGTTGGAAAGGTTAGATTGTAAGGTCCTTAAAGTGCCTAGCACAATCGGGTCCCAGGGTGACCAGAGAGCAAGTGTGAAAAACCGGGACAGTGGGTAGGGAGTAATAGAAGCCTATATAAGACAAAGTCCCAAATATCAGGACTGTCCCTATAAAATCAGGACATCTGGTCACCCTATGGGGTCCTGGTCCATGAGTTGGGCTCCCTCCCAGGCACTACAGTAATACAAATAACAATTAATAAAATAAATAAATAATAATAAATAATAATAAAGGCTGTTCTCCCATGGTTAAGGCACTGGACTGGAACCTAAGAGAGCTGAATTTTATTCCTAGCTCTGCCACAGTGTGGTGGGGGGCAAGGCTCAGTTATGACCATGCAGATGCACAGTGGGGCTGGACGGATGTTGTATGGGGCAACTTTAATTCTGGCACCTCCTAACTTTTAAGTGCTTGTCTTTGCCACATGAACATTCTTCTGACATAGATTTTTGGATGTAATATCATTTAAGACTTTAAATAACAGTGAGAATACGAATGAAAGAATGAAATGCTTACCTAGAATTTCACTGTAATACGAATCCCATTCTCCCCAGTAGCTCTGAAACACATAGTCTTGTAGGTGGTAAGACACTATGTTTTTTATTCTTTCACTGAATGACAACTGGTCTGTGAGCTCAGACAAGGCTGCGGGTGCATACGAAGGCGGAGAGGGCATCTTCCCACAATGCCTCTCCACTGTTGAGGCTGGTGTGAACCGCAGAGAGTACACAAATGGAATTCCGAGTTTGAGAGCAACTAGGTCACCACCAATAGTCACCGGATCTGACAGAAGCACATCGTACTTGTCCCTCTGCAGCCGTGCCATTAAGTCCTGGCTGGCTAGCACACTATCACACAGCTGTCTATTCATCTTATTCGCTTTGCTGATCAGCTTTCCGAGCTCCTTGTAGAACTGCCAGAAGGTCAGTGTGGTTGGTCTGTTATACAGCCACAAGTTCACAATCTCCTTGATCAAGGAGTCAATGCAGTTCTTTCCAGAGGGCACAGGGTACACCTCAAACCTCTCAGACGTCTCAGCATGCGGTGTGATAAAGAGGGAAGCATTTGATACTAGGATGGTGACATTGTGCTCTCGGCGTATCAGTTCCTGTATAATGATCTTAACATTTAGCCAGTGACTGGCTTCCGCAGGCCAAATAAGCACATTCCCACAGAAGACCGTTCCTATCAGAGTGACCTGAAAGGCTATAAATTGGATGTGCTTCTTTGACACACTGGTGGCGAAAGCCATGGTGGGTTTGGTGACTGGATAGGAATAAAATTTTCACTCTCAATCACTTTCTCAGTCTCTCAGTGATATGGAATAGCCACTTGACCAGTACTCCTAACGACGAACAGACATGCTCCAGAAGAGTGGGTTTTCCAAACCTGTATGGTGACAGATACACCTGAAACACAAGAACAGTTTAGGTGTCTGGATTAAAAAGACAGAAAGGGTTATGGTATTTCTTTCTTGTTTAACTCTTCTCTTTCCACTTGTTTTTTAATTGTTAGTTTTGGCTGAGGAGAAAGAGGGCCAGTAGAAATCCTAACCATTAGTTAAGTCTTCAAAAATAGGGCTTCAAATGAAACTTAAGGAGTGCATGAGCCTTGTGTTGATCCCTCTGCATAAGGGTGAATTTAACACTTTGGCTTTATCGGTGGCAGTACTAAGGCATTTCCAGACAAAAATATTAATCATGGAAATGAGGGTAAGTACGGAATGTCTCATGATGCTCTTCACTTGTCAGTTTGTTAGGGAAGTATGATGATTGGCCTCCTGTTAATTTTCCCATGCAGGGCCACTGGAAAGCATATCATGATGTCAGGACTGTGAAGGTTTGCTTTTTTAACTGTAACATGATTGGTATTTATTTGTTCTAATGTTTGTGTTACTTACCATAGCAACTTTACCTTTAGTTTAACACAGGTTTTTCCTTTGGTCTAAATATTTTCTTTTCTCCCTCCCCGCCCCCCTGCTTTTAAAAAAAAGATGTGGTGACACTAGTGGCAGCCAGAAGGTGGCGCTGTTACAAGCGGTGTGATAAGGTCTATTCAAGAAATGCTTATTGGCAATGGTGAGGCAACCTGCCACCACAGCACAGAGCCTTGTGTGGGGAGAGGCCTCTGTAGCAGGGGTCAGGAGTCAGAATCCCCCAAAGGGCTCTCTGCAATGAGGAGGGGCTGGTGCCTCCCATTGCCATGTGCTCCAAGGCTGGTGGAGAGAGCACCACTTTCCTGGCCCTCTGCCCTGAGGATGAGTGACCCATAGAAGAGGAATACTGGGCCAGGGTAGCCCCCTCCCCTCAAAGTCTCATGAGTGGCAACACCAGCTATGGTGGGTTAGGGAGGAGTGAGCCTTGCCTGCTCACTGAAGGACCAGTGGTCGGGCTGGAGGGCTTCCTCCTCCCTAAGGAGAGCCAGCAGCAGCTCCCACAGTAACCTGGGACCCCACCCTTCATCCCTATTAGCTGCCTGAAGAGCAGAAACACACTAAGATCCATCTTAACCTTTCTCACTGATAGCTTGGCTATCTACCAACACACATCACTGTGTACGTAAGGACATAAGAATGGCCACACTGGTCAAACCTATGGTCCATCTAGCCCAGTATCCTGTCTCTGACAGTGGCCAATGCCAGGTGCTTTGGAGGGAATGAACAGAACGGGGCAATTATCAAGTGATCCACCTCTGGTTATCCAGTCCCACCTTCTGGCACTCAGAGGTATAGCCAGTGATGAGCTGCCAAAATCTTAACAACGGGTTCCCTCCTCACCCCACGAGGGGGTTGTTGCCCACCCCCGCCCCCCCGGGACTCCTGCCCCATCCAACTCCCCTGCGTTCCTTGACACCCCCCCAGGACCCCTGCCCCATCCACCCCCCTCCCCTGACTGCCCCCAGAACCAGGCAGAAGGGTCTCATGGGCCACCGTAGTGAGTGCCCACCTCACCCCTAAGAGCCAGAGGCACCTGCCGGGGGGCAAGGTGGGGAGTCCCGGCGGTGCTTACCTAGGGCAGCTCCCAGGAAGCATCCGGCAGGTCCCTCTGGCTCCTAGGGGCGGGGGAGCATAGCTAGGGGAGGAGCAGGGGGAGCAGCCACTCCCCCCACTGATCACATCAAAAGTGGCACCTTAGGTGCCAGCTCCCTGGGTGCTCCAGGGCTGGAGCACCCACGGGGAAAATTTGGTGGGTGCAGAGCACCCACCAGCAGCTCCACACCCTGTGCCCAGCCCCAGCTCACCTCACATCCGCTCTGCTTCTGCCGCTGAAAGCACCGCCCCGTTCTGCTTCTCCACCCCCCCAGGCTTCCCGGGAATCAGCTGTTCGCGCGGGAAGCCAGGGAAGGCTGAGAAGCAGGCAGCAGCTTCCCGCTCAGGCCCAGGGAGGCAGAGGTGAGCTGGGGCAGGGGAGCGGTTCCCCTGCGCCCCAGCCCCCGGGTTACCTGCTGTGGCGCTAGCGGCCTTCCTCACGCCCCCCCGCCCCAGCTCAGCTCACCTCCGCCTCCCTGGGCCTGAGTGCGAAGCCACCGCCTGCTTCTCAGCCTGCCCCGGCTTCCCGTGCGAACAGCTGATTCACGGGAAGCCTGGGGGCGGGGCGGAGAAGCAGAGCGGGGGCGAGGCAGCGCGTTCAGGGGAGGAGGTGGAGGAGGAGGGGAGGGGAGGGGAGGGGAGGGGAGCTGGGGCCGGGGGTGGGGTGGGGAGCTGCCGGTGACTGCTCTGCACCCACCAAGTTTTCCCCTTGGGTGCTCCAGGGCTGGAGCACCCGTGGAGTTGGCGCCTAAGGCGCCACTTTGGGCCGGTTAAATTTAGAAGCCCTTTTAGAACTGGTTGTCCCTCGTGGAACAACCGGTTCTAAAAGGGCTTCTAAATTTAAACAACTGGTTCTAGCGAACCGGTGCGAACTGGCTCCAGTTCACCACTGGGTTTAGCCATTGATGGACCTATACTCCATGAACTTATCTAATTCTTTTTTGAACCCACTTACACTTTTGGCCTTCACAACATCCCCTGGCAATGAGTTCCACAGGTTGACTGTGTGTTGTGTGAAGAAGTACTTCCTTTTGTGTGTTTTAAACCTGTTGCCTATTCATATAATTGTGTGACCCCTTGTTCTTGTGTTATGTGAAGGGGTAAAGAACTCTTCCCTATTCCCTTTCCACACCAGTAATGATTTTATAGACCTCTATCATATCCCCCCTTTGTCATCTCTTTTCCAAGCTGAACAGTTCCAGTCTCTCTCATCTCTCCTTATACGGAAGCTGTTCATCATTTTTGTTGGCCTTCTCTATACCTTTTCCAGTTCCAGTGTTCAAGATAGTGGCGTACCGTGGGTTTATATAGTGGCACTATGATATTTTCTGTCTTATTATCTATCCCTTTCCTAATGGTTCCTTATATAACAATAGCTTTTTTGACTGCCGCTGCACATTTGATGGCCACTGCACACTAAGCAGATGTTTTTAGAGAACTATTCAAGATGACTCCAAGATCTTTTTTGAGTGACAACAGCTAATTTAGACCTCATCATTTTGTATGTATAGTTGAGATTATGTTTTCCAATGTGCATTACTTTGCACTTATCACTGAATTTTGTAACGTCTGTAAATTTTGCCACTTCATTGTTTGCTCCTGTTTTCAGATCATTTATGAATATGTTGAACAGCACATGACCCAGTACAGATCCTTAGGGGACCTGCTATTTATCCTTCTCCATTCGGAAATCTGAACATTTATTCCTACCCTTTGTTTCCTATCTATTAACGAGTTACTGATCCATGAGAGGACCTTCCCTCTTATCACGACTCCTTATTTTGTTTAAAAGCCTTTTGTGTGGGATCTTGTCAAAGGCTTTCTGAAAGTCCAAGTATACTACATCAACTGGATCACCCTTCTCCACATGTGTGTTGACACCCTCAAAGACATAGATTGGTGAGGCATGATTTCCCTTTACAAAAGCCATCTCGACTCTTCCCCAACATATTGTGTTCATCTGTGTGTCTAATAATTCTGTTCCTTACTACCATTTTGACCGGATTGCCCAGTACTGAAGTTAGACTTACTGGCCTGGAATTGCCAACATCACCTCTGCAGTCTTTTTTAAAAATAGGCATTACATTAGCTCTCCTCCAGTCATCTAGTACAGAGGCTGATTTAACAATGTTTTCTGATTGCCATACCCTTCTGAGCCCCAGTAAATACCCATGAATATTGGTTACTCCCAATACCATGCAGCATAACTAGTAATTCACACATAGCATTTAAAACACAGGCACCGCAAGTTCAACCCCATAGTTCCTACTTAAGTACCTAAATAATTATCTTATGAAGCTTTCTCAGACTCTAATAGAAGTGGTGGGTGCTTGAACCATCTGAAAATCAGGCCAGTTATTTAGATGCCTATATGTGGATGTAGGAGTCTAACTTTACATCCCCAATTTGGAAAATGTTGGCCTTTTTCATATTCAGACTTTTTAAATTAACAAAGTTTCCCAAATCCATGAGTCTAAAGCAAATTAAGGTAGTGTCCTGGAACAGTACAGTGTATCCCAAATCAAAATCATTTACCATCATCATCAGAATTCATACCTAGTTCTTATAAACGACAGGTAGTTTTTCCAATTGCTACTAATTAAGTAGACAAGTGGGGTTCACTTGTATACCCAACGCAGTTCACCACAAACCTTGTAACATTAACTATTCTGCCAGCGCCTGGTTTTCCACTAACTAATTTTACCATTATGCAGTGGCTATTCTGGAATAGCCTCCACTGTGGACACTATTCCAGAATAAAAATCACTATATTCTAGAATAATCAGTGCACTCACAAAGTCCACTAATAATTCCAGAATAAAGTGACTTTTAGTTTGGAATAGACTGCCCAAACTGGGAGCTATTCTGGTCAATTTCCCCATGTAAACAAGCCCTAAGAGATGATACATACACATATACCAGAAGGCAGATTTCTTCGGTCCTAATCCGGCAACTGGTTCCTCTTAAGCAGATTCCTGCTTTGGAGCCTGCAAGCACAGATGCAGTCGCAAGATCCGGGCTTTGGTTTGCCTATCAATATATCAATGAGATGATCCTATAAGAAGTCAATATAAAATTATATCACCAATCAAACAAAATATGGAACTTCCGCACAGAAAATTGCAGAAAAAAATCATGCAAAAATCTCTTACCTAACGGAACATCCTGATATATTTTTTAACTAATTACTTCTTTTTCTTCATAATTAAGTACAGTTTATGTCAACCTACTGTATTACCAACTGCACACACTGTCCCATTGCTACTCACCTGATCTTTCCCTTAGAAGCTCTGGCAGCACCTGTGCATCAGGCAAAAGTAAAAGGAGCTTAAATACGTTCACCCCAAATAGAGCTCTTAAACAGGAAGAAAGTAATATGATAAGGAGCCAGTCTGCACCAGGAAATATTTTGTGGAATCATTTAGGACTTTGTTATGCTCCAGTTACTAAATAATAAAGATTATCTCCACAGCTCTAGTATGGGTGGGAACATCGTAACTGGCAATCTCCACTAGCCAAATAGGGCCAGATTTTCAAGTGCTAAGTATCTACTTCTGGGGCCAGATTTTCAGAAGAGCTCAATTCAGTTTAGGCACCTAAATCAGGGCCAGATTCTCAAAAATGCTCAGCACCCAGTAGCTCCACTGAAAACCATGGGAACTTCTGAAGGCTGAATCTTTTTAAAAATCTGGCCATTTCATTTAAGTGCCTAAACAGGAGCTGTGTTTTTCTGAAAATTTGGCCCTTAAATAAAAGCCTAATTTTCAAAGGTGCTGAGCACTCAGTAGTTCCCCACTGAAGTCCAGAGAGAAACTATGGCTTATTGTTCGTATTTATGATTTTTAGAAATGCTCAGTGGCTCACAGGTCCCATTGACTTCAGTGGGAGCTGTTAGGTCTGCAGCACTTTTGAAAATCAGGACACTTACTTATGCACTTCATACAGACTTAGGAGCCCCCCCATTTTAGAAAATTTTGACCTTAATGTATCACATTTCAATTTCAACCTTTTATAAAAAACCTTCAGAATGTTGGGCACATTCTACCACTAAAATCAGGCCAGAAAGGTGAACGTGGGGCAAGATTTTCAACAGTAGCTATGGCCTTGTCTATATGGGAAAGTATAACCTATGGTGTGAATTTAAATCAACATTGTCATACCACTATAACCCCAGGTAGACACTTATTCTGATATAACAATGTCTTTTTTTGGTTTAATTTATGTTGCATTGGAAGGGATTTATGTTAAATCAAGATAAGGCATTCCTATACCATAAGAAGTGTCTACACAGGGGATTATATCTGTATAACTCTATTGACAGAACTGGTAAAACTTTCCTATGTAGACAAGAGATTAAGGGTACGTATACACCACAAATTAAGGTGTGATTGTAACACAGGTAGGCATACCAGTGCTAGCTTTAATCTCTTTAGTGCAGGTAACAGTAGCAGTGAAAATGTGGTGGTACAAGCCCTCCAGGGACTCTGGGTATATACTTGAGTTGCTGACCTGCGCCGGGGTCCTTGCAGCCATATCTTCACTGTTGTTTTTACCTGAAGGGAGGTAGATTAAAGCTAGTGGCTGGCTCGTGTTGCAATTATACTTTTATTTGTGGTGTAGACAAACCCTTAGAAGCAAAAGTCCTTGTGAAAGTCAATGAAAGCAGTACTTCTAAATCTTTTAGGTGCTTTTGAAAATCTCCCTCTTAATAAACAGCTCCATAGGAAATTAGAGCCACTTCTAATGGAGGCAAAAAGGTTTCAAGTTCCAGTTTTACTTTTCAAAGCTGATAATCAAATTATCCATAATGCAAAAAGTAGAAGAAAAGCTTTTTGAGAGGATTAACTGACAAAAAAAATTTTAAAGGTTTATGTGGCAAACAAATGAGAAAAGTAGGTTTGAAAATTGCAGGTATCATGTTTCAGACCTGTTTCATAGTTCTAGTATTACAAATCCCAAATACCATAGTAATTGACACATCTCTAACCTGCTTTGGTGGCCACTGGTTCTTCAAGGTTGAGATTTAGTCACATAACAGTTATGAAATTCAGAGTTATGGTTCCCACGGGTGACCTATGGGACTTAAGCACATGCTAACATTTAAGTACATGTACAAATTAAGTACTCTGATGAATCGTGCTCTAGGTGTGGCAGAGCTCCATCATTGTCCCCATGGGGCCCCATGCTTCTAGGCAGTTTATACTAGCCTCAGATGCTCACTGTGACCCTCCACATAGCCCTTCTCTCTCTGGGGCCAGGGATACAGTCTACTGAGCCCTTTTCATCATAAGCCAGCAAAGAGGTTGGTGAGAGAACTCCCACAGTCTCTGTTGTCCCTACAGGCTTTTTACCAAACAGTTTAGCCTCCTGTCCCGACAGGGGCCTGTCTTCCCCTCCCAGGAGGTGTTTCTGTAGTGGCAGGTTGGGGGGAACCCAGGCCCGCCCTCTACCCCGGGTTCCGGCCCAGGGACCCTAATAGTAGCAGCCGACCTTTCACTGCCAGAGTTGCTACATTTTCCTGGGCCACTTCCCCACAGCTCTCCCGCTTCTCTCTTCTTCACCCTTACCAATGGCTTGAGGGTGTCTTCATTAACCAGCCCTTCAGCCATACTTCCTCTCTTCTGCCCCCCTGGCTCTCCTCTGCCTGACTGGAGTGAGCCCTTTTATAGTATCAGAGGGCCTTAATAGGAGTCAGGTGGTCACATTAGCTTAATGGCCTCACCTGACTCTTTGCAGCTTAATTGGAGTCAGGTGTTCTCATTAGCCTGGAGCAGCCCCTGCTCTGGTCAGTCAGGGAACAGAAAACTGTTCATCCAGTGACCACTATATCTGCCTTCTGCTACTCTGCTGTACCCAACTGGCCTGGGTCTATCACAGTGTATATGACATTTCTATGTTATTTCCAAAACATTTTGGAGCCAACCAAAGCCAAGAAGATTCTGAACAGGAAAACAATGTTTCTTCATGCTGGGATCACTCCAAACAACTCTGCAGTTTTCCATTAATTATTCTGAAAAAAGCAACTTCTGAACTGAAGGCTACCATTAGGAATCTAAGTTCAAAAGCTCATTTTATTTGGGAAAATTATCAGACTGCTAAAAGTAGAGGTCTATAATTTAAATTCCACTTCATTCCTAACTAGAGATACTAGTTACAGTGCAATCATACAGACTTGACATCAAATTGAAATATCTCTAGTGGCACATGTGTAACTGTTCAGTAAAGCACATGCTTACGCTTTCATTATGGCAGAAGTAGTATCCACTGGAAATTTGTCCCAACTGCAACAACTGATGCCCAGCCAATGATGTAGCTGAACTGGTCCAAACTCGTAGTGTAGACAAGGAAAGCTGTGATTTGTACTGACGGAGTTTTGCCTGGTTTACAGCATGAGACCTCACTTGAGCACTAAATCCCAAATTTTACTAGAATGTTGTGTAGCAACACAGTTTTGTGTGTGAATTACACAGTGTGCAATCTACCAAAATGCAAATTAGCAAGGATGGGGACAGGACCAAAACTGGAGTTTACCATGCCAAACAACTAACTATAACAAAGATTATAAAATGAGGAAGTAAGAAATTACAGGTCCGATCTGCAGCTGGTGTATATCTCCATAACTCCAATTACTTCAGTGAAGCTAGATATACACTAGATGGGGACATGGCCCTGTGCCTTCAAACTGTGAGATACCATCTCCAGAAAAATCTCACAGGTTAAGTTTGTTATTTTACAAGGTTTTATTTGTTTAAATTCAAGTTTTTACTAGTTCTTTTTATTCCCATTCCGGCGTCGTGGAGTCATCTTTACATGTAAGTGCACAGATATCGGTGTTGCTCGTGTCGAGGTTTTTGTTAGTCTGCGACAAAAAGACAAACAATAAAGGAAAGGGGTTTAACTATCTGTGCCTCGTGATATATACTCATGTTCAATCCTTAAGTGGTGCCACCTCGTTTTTTGGCCGGGATTACTATAAAATATGGTAACTGAGATTTTTCAGAGCTGCTTAAAACATCAGGACAACCAGTTCTTGCCAAAATTAATGGGTTTTGAGCATCCAAATCCCCTAGGTTGCTTTGAAAACCTCACTTGGTACAGATCAACACATCTGCAAATGTTGACAATAGCATTGGGCAAATTCTAATGTTTTTTCTATTATTATTTTTGCTTCTGCAAAACCTTGCTCCTCAGGATTTTGCTCTAGGAAAACAAAATCCAAATCTGGGGTGATTTAGATATGGGACCCTTACATCCACATCCCCACAGTTTCGGGGCATAATATATAAATGCTTCTGGCTCTGACCCCTCTCTAGCCGACAAACATCTCAAACTGTCAATCAGGGTTCAAACCGAATAATTTGTTTAGGGATGAAGGCGAGATAAGGCATTGGTAGGTCCATTCTCTGGCAGGAAATGCTGGTTATTTGGAGCAACTGGAGTCATTCCAAAGGATAAAAGAAATTACTCTCCAAATATAAATAAATCATAATAAGAATAAGAATGCTTTAGTAGATATATATAGTGCTTTTCATTTTACATACAATCAGATATGTGTATTTATTTTATTTTTATCGTAAAAAATTAAAATACACCCATTGCCTAAAGAGGATGAGCACATGAATAATAATCCAAATACAATTAATCAACATTTTGGCTGCATTTAAGGGAACTCAACCTACTCTTCAGTTAAAAATTCAGTCTTTCTGAACATACAAAAGAGCTATGCACTGAACGTTATAAAGAACTCTTTCAGACAACTGAGAAATCCCAAAAAGCCACCTCACTACCAGTCTCCAGACATCCAGACCCTTGAGTATGTAAACAGGGGAGTAGTAAATAGGAATTGGGGAAGTGATTTTACCTCTGAATACAGCATTGGTGAGACCGATACCAGAATACTGCATCCACACTGATGTCCATATTTTAAAAAGGATGTCAAAAAATTGAAGAGGGTGCAGAAAAGAGCCAGAAAAATTATTTGAGGGCTGGTGAAAATGCCTTGCAGTAAGAGACTTAAAAGAGCTGCTTAGCTTATCAAAAGGAAGATAGAGAGGGGACTTGATTACAGTATCTAAGTAAAAACAACCAGGAGTCCGGTGGCACCTTAAAGACTAACAGATTTATTTGGACATTTTTCGTGGATAAAAAACCCCCACTTCTTCAGATGCATCTAAGTACCTTCACAAGGAGAAAATAACAGGTACTAAAGGTCTTTTTAATCAGCAGAGAAAGACAGTACAAGAACCAATGGCTGGAAGCTGAAGCCAAACAAATTCAAATTAGAAAAAAGGCACATTTGGGACATTTTTTAACAAGGAAGGTGATTAATCATTAGAACAAACTATCAAGGGAAGTGGTGGATTCGCCATCTCTTGATGTCTTCAGATCAACACAGGATGCCTTTCTGGTAGGGTTGTCAATTAATTGCAGTTAACTCAAGCGATTAACTCAAAAAAATGAATCATGATTAAAAAATATTATTGCAATTAATCGCACTGTTAAACAATAGAATACCAATTGAAATGTATTAAATATTTTCGGATTTTTTCTACATTTTCAAATATATTGATTTTTATTACAACACAGAGTACAAAGTGTACAGTGCTCACTTTATATTATTTTATTACAAATATTTGCTCTGTAAAAATGACAAAAGACTGTAGGTTCTCCAACTGTGGTCCATGGACCACCCGTGGTCCGCGAGCTCCATTCAGGTGGTCCGTGGACAGTTTCCTCTAAGGTGCGCACCTGGGTGGCTGCACAGGAGAGAATGAAGAGCCACTCACCTAATTAGTGGAGCCAAACAGGCGTGGCTCCACTAATTAGGTGCCTGGACCCTGGAGAAGATGCACATGTAAGGTGAGTTGGTGGCCTTGGGAGGAATAGAGGGTAGGTGGGAGGGGGAAATGGGTTGAGAAGAGGGGGTGCAGGGAATTTGGGACATGCAGGGCTGCGGCGGCCAGAGAAGGAGGTGACTTTCCCCAACTCCAAGGCTGTGGCTGCTGGGGAGAGACCCCCCTCCTTCCCAGCCTCAGCTCTGTGGCTGTTGTGGCAGGGGAGAGACCCCCTCCTTCCCAGACCCAGCTTGGGGGTTGCTGCGGTGGGGGAGAGAGGGCACATCCATTAGAAAGGTAACACTACTGATATTAAAATATGAGTTGTGTGCTTTTATTTGTAGAACAAAAAAACATTAATTATTATTACTTTTTTTTAATATAGCGCTTTTATCCAACGTGCTTCACAATAGTTAGCTAATGGTACAAACAACATTTGGAAAGATCATTAAGTGGTCCGCCAAGACCCTCAGCAATTTTCAAGTGGTCTGCGGGAAAAAAATGTTTGAGAACCACTGCTGTAGTGCAATTTCTTTATCATGAAAGTGCAACTTAATGTAGATTTTTTTTGTTACATAACTGCTCTCAAAAACAAAACAACGTAAAACTTTAGAGTCTACAAGTCCACTCTGTCCTACTTCTTGTTCAGCCAATCGCTAAGAGAAACAAGTTTGTTTACATTTACAGGAGATGCTGCTGCCTGCTTCTTATTTACAACATCACCTGAAAGTGAGAACAGGCGTTCACGTGGCACTTTTGTAGTCAACGTTGCAAGGTATTTATGTGCCACATATGCTAAACATTCGTATGCCCCTCCATTTTTCAGCCACTATTCCAGGGGACATGCTTCTATACTGATGGTGCTCATTAAAAAATAATGTGTTAATTAAATTTGTGACTGAACTCCTTGGGGGAGAACTGTATGTCTTCGGCTATGTTTTACCCACAATCTGCCATACATTTCATGTTATAGCAGTCTTGGATGATGACCCAGCACATTTGTCTTAAAAATACTTTCACTGCAGATTTGACAAAACCAATGTGAGACTTCTAAAAATAGCTATAGCACTCGACCCAAGGTTTAAGAATCTGAAGTGCCTTCCAAAATCTGAGAGGGACGAGGTATGGAGCATGCTTTCAGAAGTCTTAGAAGAGCAACACTCTGATGTGGAAACTATAGAACCCGAACCATCAAAAAAGAAAATCAACCTTCTGGTGGTGGCATCTGACTCAGATGATGAAAATGAACATGCATTGGTCCAGTTTGCTTTGGATCGTTATTGAGCAGAAACCATCATCAGCATGGACGCATGTCCTATGGAAGGGTGGTTGAAGATGAAGGACATATGAATCTTTAGCGCATCTGGCATGTAAACATATTGCGACGCCAGCTACAACAGTGCCATGCAAATGCCTGTTCTCGCTTTCAGGTGACATTGTAAACAAGAAGCGGGCAGCATGATCTCCTGCAAATTGTAACCAAGTTTGTTTGTCTGAGCAATTGGCTGAAGTAGGACTGAGTGGACCTGTAGGCTCTAAAGTTTTACACTGAAAAATAAAACAATGCAGTTATTTTTTGTACGTAATTCTATATTTGTAAGTTCAACTTTCATGATAAAGAGATTGCACTACAGTACTTGCATGACATGAATTGAAAAATACGACTTCTTTTGTCTTTTACAGTGCAAATATTTGTAATCAAAAATAAATATAAAGTGAGCACTGTACACTTTGTATTCTGTGTTGTAACTGAAATCAATATATTTGAAAATGTAGAAAGCACCCAAAAATATTTAAATAAATGGTATTCCATTACTGTTTAACAATGCGATTAATCGCGATTAATTTTTTTAATCACACAATTAATAGCCATTAATTTTTTTAATCACTTGACAGCCCTATTTTCTGGAAAAGATACTTTAGCCAAACACAAGTTACTGGGCTCAGTACAGGAGTAACTGGGTGAAATGTAATGGCCTGTGCTATACAGAAGGTCAGATTAGATGATCGAATGGCCCCTTCTGGCCTCAAATCCTCTGAATCAACGGATACAAAGAATGTACTGGTGGTACAAGAGCTACAGGTTTTTCTGAATAGGTCGGTAAATGGTAAATGACTTCACAGCTAATTTTCAACCCAGTCCTTTCAAATCTTCACAAAACCGGACACTGTATTAGCTTTCTAGAATGCTGATCTAGAAGAAAAGGTCGAATGCTCAGCCCTGTAGCAGGGAAAGTATGGCAGAACTAGCTTTTTCTACTTACTTCTTTGATGCTGCACGCTCAGTGACCTTCTTTGCCATCCCAGTTCCTTGTGGGGGCAAAGTCTTGCTCTTCACAACTGGGAGTTCTTGATATGAAGTTTGTACCTGGGCCTCGGTACATAAACGGGACGAACGCCACTTCTTCCCCACAGGTATTTCAACACGCGAGGTCTGCACCTGGGCCTCGGCATATTCAGGGTGTGGAAGCTTCAGCTCTACCTCCTCCTTCAACGTCTCCTCTGCTAATATTTTAACATCTGGGGGAGTCGGAGGCACTGCTTTCTCTTCTGTTATTTCAACCCTCGTGGTTTGCATCTCAGCCTGTGTTTGGGACAGGGAAGGAGCCTTCTCCTTTGCCTCTGGCAATTCAAGCCTGGAGGTTTGCACCTGGGCCTCAACTTGTAGTCGTGACGAATGCCACTTGTTCCCTGCTGGTATGTCTACATATGAAGTTTGCACCTGGGCCTCCGTCAGTGTTAATGGGAGGGGCTTCTCTTTGATTGGGGTAGCGGGCATCTCATCCTGCAACTCTGGTACTTCAAAATATGAAGACTGGATGTGAACCTCAGTTTGTGATGGGGAAGGAAAGGCCGTCTCTGCTTCTGTTACTGCAAGTTTGGAGGTTTGCACCTGGGCCTCGGTTAATGATGGGGAAGAAAGCTTCTTCAATAACGCAATACTTGACGTTTGTACCTGGGCCTCGGTCAGTAAGAGGGAAGAAAACTTCTTCAGTAACTCAATGCTTGAGGTTTGCACCTGGGCCTCAGCTTGTAACCGTGACGAACGCCATTTATTCCCTACTGGTATGTCTACATATGAGGTTTGCACAGCAGCATCAGCTACAGGTTTGGTGAGAGACATTTCTTCTATTGGGAATGGGGCCTCCTCCTCCTCCTCTGCTTCTGTTACTGCAAGTTTGGAGGTTTGCACCTGGGCCTCAGCAGTGAGGGGGAAAGAGGACTTCTCGTGATGAAGTTTGGAGGTTTGCACCTGGGCCTCAGTCAGTGAGGGGGAAAGAGGCACGTCCTCTGCTTCTGTTACTGCAAGTTTGGAGGTTTGCACCTGGGCCTCGGTTAATGATGGGGAAGAAAGCTTCTTCAATAACGCAATACTTGACGTTTGTACCTGGGCCTCGGTCAGTAAGAGGGAAGAAAATTTCTTCAGTAACTCAATGCTTGAGGTTTGCACCTGGGCCTCAGCTTGTAACCGTGACGAACGCCACTTATTCCCTACTGGTATGTCTACATATGAGGTTTGCACAGCAGCATCAGCTACAGGTTTGGTGAGAGACATTTCTTCTATTGGGAATGGGGCCTCCTCCTCCTCCTCTGCTTCTGTTACTGCAAGTTTGGAGGTTTGCACCTGGGCCTCAGTCAGTGAGGGGGAAAGAGGCACTTCCTCTGCTTCTGTTACTGCAAGTTTGGAGGTTTGCACCTGGGCCTCAGTCAGTGAGGGGGAAAGAGGCACGTCCTCTGCTTCTGTTACTGCAAGTTTGGAGGTTTGCACCTGGGCCTCGGTTAATGATGGGGAAGAAAGCTTCTTCAATAACGCAATACTTGACGTTTGTACCTGGGCCTCGGTCAGTAAGAGGGAAGAAAACTTCTTCAGTAACTCAATGCTTGAGGTTTGCACCTGGGCCTCAGCTTGTAACCGTGACGAACGCCATTTATTCCCTACTGGTATGTCTACATATGAGGTTTGCACAGCAGCATCAGCTACAGGTTTGGTGAGAGACTTTTCTTCTATTGGGAATGGGGCCTCCTCCTCCTCCTCTGCTTCTGTTACTGCAAGTTTGGAGGTTTGCACCTGGGCCTCAGTCAGTGAGGGGGAAAGAGGCACTTCCTCTGCTTCTGTTACTGCAAGTTTGGAGGTTTGCACCTGGGCCTCAGTCAGTGAGGGGGAAAGAGGCACGTCCTCTGCTTCTGTTACTGCAAGTTTGGAGGTTTGCACCTGGGCCTCGGTTAATGATGGAGAAGAAAGCTTCTTCAATAACTCAATACTTGACGTTTGCACCTGGGCCTCGGTCAGTAAGAGGGAAGAAAACTTCTTCAGTAACTCAATGCTTGAGGTTTGCACCTGGGCCTCAGCTTGTAACCGTGACGAACGCCACTTATTCCCTACTGGTATGTCTACATATGAGGTTTGCACAGCAGCATCAGCTACAGGTTTGGTGAGAGACTTTTCTTCTATTGGGAATGGGGCCTCCTCCTCCTCCTCTGCTTCTGTTACTGCAAGTTTGGAGGTTTGCACCTGGGCCTCAATCAGTGAGGGGGAAAGAGGCACTTCCTCTGCTTCTGTTACTGCAAGTTTGGAGGTTTGCACCTGGGCCTCAGTCAGTGAGGGGGAAAGAGGCACGTCCTCTGCTTCTGTTACTGCAAGTTTGGAGGTTTGCACCTGGGCCTCGGTTAATGATGGAGAAGAAAGCTTCTTCAATAACTCAATACTTGACGTTTGCACCTGGGCCTCGGTCAGTAAGAGGGAAGAAAACTTCTTCAGTAACTCAATGCTTGAGGTTTGCACCTGGGCCTCAGCTTGTAACCGTGACGAACGCCATTTATTCCCTACTGGTATATCTACATATGAGGTTTGCACAGCAACTTCACTTTGGGTTGTGGGGACAGGCTTTTCTTCTACCAGGAATGGGGCCGTCTCCTCTTCCGCTTCTGTTAATGCAAGTTTTGAAGTTTGCACCTGGGCCTCAATTTGTGATGGGGAAAGAGGCACTTCCTCTGCTTCTGTTACTGCAAGTTTGGAGGTTTGCACCTGGGCCTCGGTTAATGATGGGGAAGAAAGCTTCTTCAATAACTCAATACTTGACGTTTGCACCTGGGCCTCGGTTAGTAAGAGGGAAGAAAACTTCTTCAGTAACTCAATGCTTGAGGTTTGCACCTGGGCCTCAGCTTGTAACCGTGACGAACGCCATTTATTCCCTACTGGTATGTCTACATATGAGGTTTGCACAGCAGCATCAGCTACAGGTTTGGTGAGAGACTTTTCTTCTATTGGGAATGGGGCCTCCTCCTCCTCCTCTGCTTCTGTTACTGCAAGTTTGGAGGTTTGCACCTGGGCCTCGGTTAGTGAGGGGGAAAGAGGCACGTCCTCTGCTTCTGTTACTGCAAGTTTGGAGGTTTGCACCTGGGCCTCGGTTAATGATGGGGAAGAAAGCTTCTTCAATAACTCAATACTTGACGTTTGCACCTGGGCCTCGGTTAGTAAGAGGGAAGAAAACTTCTTCAGTAACTCAATGCTTGAGGTTTGCACCTGGGCCTCAGCTTGTAACCGTGACGAACGCCATTTATTCCCTACTGGTATGTCTACATATGAGGTTTGCACAGCAGCATCAGCTACAGGTTTGGTGAGAGACTTTTCTTCTATTGGGAATGGGGCCTCCTCCTCCTCCTCTGCTTCTGTTACTGCAAGTTTGGAGGTTTGCACCTGGGCCTCGGTTAGTGAGGGGGAAAGAGGCACGTCCTCTGCTTCTGTTACTGCAAGTTTTGACGTTTGCACCTGGGCCTCAGTTAGTGAGGGGGAAGAAAGCTTCTTCAGTAACTCAATGCTTGAAGTTTGCACCTGGGCCTCAGTTTGTAGCCGTGACGAACGCCACTTATTCCCTGCTGGTATGTCCATATATGAGGTTTGCACAGCAGCTTCACTTTGGGTTGTGGGGACAGGCTTTTCTTCTACCAGGAATGGGGCCGTCTCCTCTTCCGCTTCTGTTAATGCAAGTTTTGAAGTTTGCACCTGGACCTCGGTTTGTGATGGGAAAAGAGGCACTTCCTCTATTCCTGTTATTGAAAGTTTGGAGGTTTGCACCTGGGCCTCAATTTGTGATGGGGAAAGAGGCACTTCCTCTGTTTCTGTTATTGAAAGTTTGGAGGTTTGCACCTGGGCCTCGATTTGTGATGGGGAAAGAGGCACTTCCTCTGTTCCTGTTATTGAAATTTTGGAGGTTTGCACCTGGGCTTCCTTTTGTGAGAGGGAAGAAAGTGTCTTTAATAATTCATGACTTGAGGTTTGCACTTCGGCCTCGGCTTGTAGTCGTGTCGAACGCCACTTATTCCCTGCTGGTATGTCTACATATGAGGTTTGCACTTCAACTTCAACAAATAATGGGAATAAATTCTTCACCTGCATGTCTTGAAAGTCAAGATCGGGGGTCTGCTCCAGGGGCTCACTTTCTATGGGGAATAAAGTCTCCGTATCTAGTACTTCAATATATGATGTTTGCACCTGGGCCTCCATTTGTGATGGGAATGAAGTCTCCTCCTCTGATATTTCAAGATCTGAGGTTTGTACCTGGGCCTCACTTTCAAACGGGAGGAAAGTCTCTTCGCCTGGTAGTTCAAGATTTGAGGTTTGCACCTGGGCTTCTGTTTGTAATCGCGACCAACGCCACTTATCTCCTGGTGGTATTTCGACATAGGAAGTTTGCACCTGGACGTCAGCGCAGAATAGATCTTCTGCAATTTGCTGTAAACAACAAAAAACAACCCCCCCATAAACATGGCCATCTACTTCTCAAAGCAAAAGTGAAGCTCCTGTGATGTTGCCCTCCATATGTTTTATAGAGTTTTATATGCTTATGAGTGTAAATATGATGTAATTGGAATATGCTTTATGCAAAAGGTCTCTTGTAAGGTATCATAACAAAGGTTATAACCTACTGAATATATTCCTCCTATTTGTATGTATGTATCATGTACATATGATGCTCAAATAAATTTGTTAGTCTCTAAGGTGCCACTAGTACTCCTTTTCTTTTTGCGGATACAGACTAACACGGCTGCTACTCTGAAACCTGTATCATTCTTGTATCTGAAGCTAAAATAATATAAAGTATAACTCTAGGGTCCTACTGTAATTATGCAAAGTGTGGGCCATTGATGGTGGTTTAGAATCTTGATAGCTCCCACTGACTAGGACAATTGGTTGTAATTGGTTCTGTTTACTTGCAAGCCTTCCTGTGTTTGTGTTAGCCAGCCCAGGAAAAATGGAGGCTGGGGGTCTCACAGGACATGTGACCATGTCACATCATGCTGAAATCCATCTTACATCTGGTACTTTTCCATTTAGGAGGAGGGGTGGGGACCCAGAGAGACAAAAGATTCCTGCCTTGGGCCAAAGCTATAAAAGGGGGTGGAACAGAACAAAGGGGGCTGCCAGTCATGAGAAATCCCCTAGTGACCACCTGAACTGGAACTAACAAGGACTGTACCAGGGGAAAGGATTGGGCCCAGACTAGGAAGGAGTGTAGTCTGTTAAAGAAGCTTATTGGAACATCTCAGAGGGTGAGATTTTACCTGTAAACAGTTTCTTAATGTATTATGCTTAGACTTGTGTGTTTTTGCTTTATTTTGCTTGGTGACTTACTTTGTTCTGTCTGTTATTACTTGAAACCACTTAAATCCTACTTTTGATACTTAATAAAATCACTGTTATTAGTAAACCCAGAGTAAGTGATTAATACCTGAGCGAGCAAACAGCTGTGCATATCTCTCTATCAGTGTTTTAGAGGGCAGACAATTTATGAGTTTACCCTGTATAAGCTTTATACAGAGTAAAATGGATTTATTTGGGGGTTTGGATCCCATTGGGAACTGGGTGTCTGGGTGCTGGAGATAGGTGACTTGCTGAGCAGTTTTTGGTTAAAGTCTGGGGGCGTGGACCAGACCTGGGTCTGTGCTGCAGCAGGCTAGCGTGTCTGGCTCAACAAGTCAGGGTTCCAGAGTTCCAAGCTGGCAGGGAAAGCAGGCTCAGAGGTAATTCCAGCACGTCAGGTGACAGTCCCAAGGGGGACTCAGTGACCGAACCCGTCACAGCTCCACAGCTAGAAAGTCCTCCACCCCTTGGCATAGCAACCCACACAAGCCAACAAAATAAAGAACAGCCAAAGAGATCTACAGGACATTGTTCTCAGACCAGTAGCTTACTTACTGCTGCTGCTTTTAGTGGGCAGCAGCATGGCACAAAGTAGTGCCCCTGTCTGTTGACTGAGCAACGAGGTGGAGGCTGTGGTCATTATCTGTGCAAAAGATAGACATCAGCATCCAAGCTGCTCATCTTGTGGACAATGAAGAACTGTGATGGCAGTAAAGGAAACAGAAGCAGGCAGTAGGCTTTGTGCATGTGTCCCATTTGCAACCACTCAGCCGGCATGCTTGCATTTCAGCAAGAGATGTCCTAGAAGGGCACTGGGAAATGGAGTGATGGCAAGTCATGGCCACGTGATTATTACAGTACTTGCATGAGTACTGTGCAGTTTTGAAATGGGGAGAAAAAATGCATGGCTTGCCAGTTTTACAATTTGATATGTTATCCAAGAGCATCCCTCAAAAAAAGGATGAAAAAGTCAGGGCTGCAACATTTAATTTCTGTCAGTTGGGGGTTCAGGAAAACCTGCAATACTTAACTTGGTTTTATCAACAAATAAAAATGTTAAGGGACAGTTTTTTCAAACAAGCTCAGTACCCAACAGCTCCCATTTAAGTACCTAAATAAGGTGACACAGTTTCCAAAATTGTTCATCAGTACCTATTAAGAACATGGGAGATCTCCATTACATGACAGTTTTACCACTGACATCAGTGACAGCAAATGCTGAGAGCTTTTCAAAATCCTTCCCAATGGCAGCTGCTGGGGGGTGAGCCCATGTGAAAATTTGACCATTTTGTTTAGGTGCCTAAATGGGATCTGAGTTCCTTTTGAAAAATCTAGCCTTAAAAGTTTATTTACAAATAGCTTAAGACCAATTATTTAAAACTTTTTAGAATCTGGTTTTGAACATACCCTTCACATTTAATAGATCTTCTCTGGGTTTATTATTATTAGGGAAATCTACCATTCTGTCTCTGAGATTTAAAAGTATATAGCCCATATATATGTATTACCTATACAAAAACAATATTTTGTATTCCCCTTGCTGGCTGTGTTGCAGCTGTTCAGCTGACCAACAAACCCTATTTCCAGAGCAATGAAGAGTAATGTTATTATTTGTATTGCAGTAGTCCTGAGAAATCCCAGGCATGGATCAAGACCCCATTGTGATTGGCATTGCACAACACAGAACAAAGAGATAGTAACAGCTCCTTGGGGTGAAACCTATCATCAAAGATTATTGGATGGTGAGGGAAACACATGAAACAAATCAAAGGACAAAAATTCTAAATCCTATTAGAAACAGAAGGGTTGGAGGAGCTGTAGGATTTCATTATGTTCACAGTGGAAAAAGACAAAAACAGAAAGACATTTTATTCTTGAAATCAATGGAAGAATAAGATTATTTTTACATACCCCTTGACAGTGTTTCTTTAAATTTTAAAAGGACTCATTCCCTGTAGTATAATAATAAACTGCAAACTATTAAGTGCTAAATTCTGATACAGTTACTCCCAATGAATAGGACTTTCTCCACAAGTAGCACCTGTATGAATAAAGGAGACGACTTACAGAATAAACTAGCATTCAGCGTGCAGTAAGGGTATCAGGCTCTAGCCTTACATGATATATATTGTGATTTTCAAAAGAGCCTAAGAGAGGTATGTTAGGGAAAAAGGGTTTCCCTCCCATCTAGGGTTGGGAGGGTAGCCTTCCCTGGACTTCTGTATTAGCCAGACAAACACAGAGTCAGGACTCTTAGATAAAATGAGGTACTTTAATGCTAGCAAGTACGACAGCTGAAGGGCTCACCAATTCCTACACAGAGGAATATGGCGAAGCCCAGAACAAAGAACAAGGTAGAGCTTTTATAGCTTGGTTCAACATACTTTGTGATATCTCTTCCAGTTCAAACCGGTCAACCCCTGTTGGTCTGAGTCCTGAGGTATGAACATGGAGGCCCATCTGTATAAGGAATTCTTTCCCCAAATAGGGAGTACAGGTTACACATAGTTCAAATTCTTTCTACCCATAAACATAGGGAAAGGACAGATAAGCATAGAAAAAAGACAGAAGCCTAGCTGTACATGATTATAGGGTTTTTTCTGGTTCTTTTCTTTATCAGTTAGATGCCCAAATCCCATTAAAATCCACGCACACACAAACACAAATAGGGTAGGACATATTGAAAAGGCTAATATCTTTCTGGGATGTACTAACAGGAGTGTTATATGAAAGACCCAGAAAGTAATTGTCCCTTGGCACTGGTGAGGCCTCAGCTGGAGTACTTTTCCAGTTCTGGGTGCCACACTTTAGGAAAGATGCAGACAAACTGGAAAGAGTCCAGAGCAGAGCAACAAAAATGAGCTTTAGAAAAGCTGACCTATGAGGAAAGGTTAAAAAAATTGGGCATGTTTAGTCTTGAGAGAAGACGACTGAGGGAAGACCTGATAATCTTCAAATAAGCTAAGAGCTGCTATGTAAGAGGATGGTGATCAATTGTTCTCCATGTTCACTGAAGGTAGGACTAAAAGTAATGAGCTTAATCTGAAGCAAGGGAGATTTAGGTTGGATATTAGAAAAAACTTTCTAACTATAAGGATAGTTACGCTCTGGAATAGTCTTCCAAGGGAGGTTGTGGAATCCCAACACTGAAGGTTTTTAAGAACAGGCTGGACAAACACCTGTCAGGGATGTGCTAGGATTACTTGGTTCTGCCTCAGCATAAAGGGCTGGACTCAATGACCTCTCGAGGTCCCCTCCAGGCCTATATGTCTATGATTTCTATGATATTATAACCCAAAGGCACTCCAGATTATGTCTATGTTTATCATAGTGAATTTAGCAGATGGGCTGTAGGAGAGATGCTGCTCAAAGTGCATTCAACCCATGTGACTCTATATAATAACACGTGCTGTGTGGTGTATTATTTACTTAAAAGAGCATATGTAATTAAAGCTACCACTCACCACAGGTCCTTCAGCTCATGCAAATATTTACCTGTTTTATTTCTTCTGCCTCCTCAGCAGAGACCTCTGGCTCAACGTTGTTTACATTTATACTGCAACACAGGATGGGACAGAGAGATTCAGAGCCTGTTAATCTCTCAGCAATGGTGCATTTAATTAATACAATAAAATAATATGTAGCTATCATAATACACAACACAGAAAATCCGTAAAATAGTAAGGACATGATTCTAACGATTTTGGGGTGACAAAGCAAAATGTCTTTCCCTCACAGTTTGGCACAGGAAGGGATGATACTTGTAGAAGTTGTGCTTTCTCCCTTGCCACCCCTTATATGTAGGAAAACCTCCACATACAAATTCATGAAGTTGCCACCCTATATTCTTTCAGTCCCTCCTTAAAACCTACCTCTGCCATAACACCTATAAATCCCTCCTGTCTGGCGTTTTCGCAGGCAACCAGCAAGCTGAGACTTAAGCTTTCCTGCTAAATTCTCTTCATTTTACTGTTACTTCATCTTCCAAACTTCAACCCAACACCCGCTCTGAAATCCACATTTGTTTTGTCCACCTAGCACATCCTGTCATATGTGAAATCCAGGTTCCAGTGATGTCAATGAGAGTTTTGCCATTAACTTCAATGGGGCCAAGATTTCACCCCTAGATTGCACACTCTCTAGGCTAGGGACTGGAGATTTTGCTACATCCCTATACCTACAAACAGCAAAACACAAAACTGTCCTTTCTGAATTTCCATCTTTAATAATCCAGTGCTGAACATGCTTTCTGGATGGAGGGCCAGAGGTGAGGGCAAAGGTGGTTTTAAGGTCTCTTTGCAGCGAAAGCTTCAATCATGGGGCCAGCTGGCTGTCAGTCTGTCCCCAGCATAAAGTAGAGCAACCTCAAGGCTGTTCTACTTCACACTTGGTAGCCTTCAGTCCCACACAGTGATGAGCTGCCAAAATCTTAACAACCTCAACACCCCCCCCCAGGACCCCTGCCCCATCCATCCCCCTCCTGACTGCCCCCAGAACTGGGCAGGAGGGTCTCGTGGGCCACTGTAGTGGATGCCCACCCCACCTCCAAGAGCCAGAGGGACCTGCCGGGGGGCGAGGTGGGGAGTCCCAGCAGTGCCTACCTGGGGCAGCTCCCAGGAAGCATCCGGCAGGTCCCTCTGGCTCCTAGGGGCGTAGTAGCATAGCTGGGGGGGAGCGGGGGAGCAGCCGCTCCCCCCCACTGATCATATCAAAAGTGGCACCTTAGGCGCCGACTCCATGGGTGCTCCGGGGCTGGAGCACCCACAGGGAAAATTTGATGGGTGCAGAGCACCCACCGGCAGCTCCCCGCCCCACCCCACCCCCGACCCCAGCTTACCTCCGCTCCACCTCTGCCTCCTCCCCTGAACGTGCCGCCCCGCTCTGCTTCTCCGCCCCGCTCCCAGGCTTCCCGTGAATCAGCTGTTCGTGTGGGAAGCCGGGAAGGGCTGAGAAGCAGGCGGCAGCTTCACACTGAGGCCAAGGGTGGCGGAGGTGAGCTGGGAGGGGGGAGCGGTTCCCCTGCGCCCCCCCCCCACGGGTTACCTGCTGCGGCGCGGGCGGCCCTCCTCGCGCCCCCCCGCCCCAGCTCACCTCCGCCTCCCTGGGCCTGAGGGCGAAGCCACCGCCTGCTTCTCAGCCCTTCCCGGCTTCCCACACAAACAGCTGATTCACGGGAAGCCTGGGAGCGGGGCGGAGAAGCAGAGCGGGGCGGCACGTTCAGGGGAGGAGGCAGAGGTGGAGCGGAGGTAAGCTGGGGTCGGGGGTGGGGTGGGGCGGGGAGCTGCCGGTGGGTGCTCTGCACCCATCAAATTTTCCCCGTGGGTGCTCCAGCCCCGGAGCACCCATGGAGTCAGCACTTAAGGTGCCACTTTTGGCCGGTTAAATTTCGAAGCCCTCGCAGAACAACCGGTTCTAAAAGGGCTTCTAAATTTAACAACCAGTTCTAGCGAACCGGTGAGAACCGGCTCCAGCTCACCACTGGTCCCACACCCCTCTTTGTCTAGCCATGCCATCTCCCACTGGTGGGGAGCTGCTGGAGGAGTACTAAGACAGTGCCCCAGCCCCGGGTGCAGGTTCATGTCGGGGCAGGGGGCACGAAGGGGCTGGAGCCGGAGCATAATGCGCTCCAGCTGTTCTCTGCTTGTCAGGGCCCTTGAGGGGTATGGGAAACGGCGTGTGGGCTGGCAGCGGTTCTCAAACTGTGGGTCAGGACCCCAAAGTGGGTTGTGACCCCATTTTTGGGGGGTTGCCAGGGCCAGCGACCCAGGGCTGAAGCTGAAATCCGAGCTCCACTTCCACCTGGGATGGCAAGGGTCGCAGGCTCCGGCCCCCTCTTCCCCCACCTGGGGTGGCGAGAGGCCCCGGCTCTGTCTGCCCCCCACCCCCACCCCGGGGTCACGTAGAAATGTTGTTGTCAGAAGGGGGTCGCAGTGCAGTGAGGTCGGAGAACCGCTGGGGGGTCAGGGAACAGGGAGAACAAAGCTGGCCTCGAGCCCCTCCACCCTCCTTGTGCTGGGCGTAGGGCAGAGAGCTCAGGCTGGCGCTGGGCTCTCGCCTCATGATTTTACCTCAGCTTGAGCTGACGGCCCCTGGCTGTGACTGCTGGGGGCAGGCCGCCCCGCGCTGGTCTCACTCACGCTCCCCACAAGGCCATGCCTGGGGCTGGCTGGATGCCCTGAGAGACCCCTGGTGACTCCTCTCAGCTCAGACCGCACCCTCGCTCCCACGCACCCAGCCCAGGGGAGCCCGTACAGGCCTGGCCCTGCACCCAGCCCTCTTGGCCACCGGCAACAGCCAGGGTGCTAGCACCGAGGGCAGCAAGATGGCCTCTGTTCCCCGCGGGCGCCCTGCCGGGTGGAGCCATGGAGAGGGCACAGCTGGATGCCGCAGGACCTTGCCAGATGCCAGGTAAGAAGGACACAATGAGGGGCAGAGTGCTTGGGGGCCTGGCTGGGGGGAGGGAATAGGATTTAAGGGGGAACAACGTGGCAGGATGGCGGCTCAAAGAAGGAGCAGACTGTGGGTTCCCCTTGAGCCCTTCTACCTCCATTCTGCCCTTCCATGAAGCCCCTGTCCCAAGGGGGAGATTGGCAGGTCAGTCCCATCTGGATAAGTCTGGGTCACTCTGTCCCATCTGGATAAGCTCTGTGCACTCAAACCTTAGAACTTTCCATGTTTCTAAGGTCCACTCGGGGTAAGCAAGCCGGGAAGCAGAAACCTTTCATTATCTCCTTCCCCATTTCCTCCAGCTCCCAGCATCATCCCGGGAATATGTTTGCCAGACATTCCAGTCAGTTGTTGGGTGGCTGATTGGTGCACCAAGCTTATCAGCGCTCCGGCATGATTTCCAACCTTCCCGTCGGCCTTCGAGGAGATAAGGAAGCAGGAAGCGTTATTCATACTTCCTGTGTCAGTGTCCCATGCCGAAGCTGCACTGAGTACAAATGTGTACGCAGCTGCTCCCAGGGAAGGTATTGGAGTGTTGGTCCAAAATATTCTACCAGCTCTCTAAACACAACTCGTCTCTGAAACATGCCACAGCCAGGGCTGGAATAACCATACATACCTTAGTATCCTAGTACTGCATTAGTAGCTGATGACTGTGAACACTGTCTCTAGCATGCAGGAAGGTCGGGCCCAAGCTTTATCTGCTTTGATCAGGGTCAGATGGCAAAGAGTTCAGGACCCACTGGTCCAGCTCAGCCAGCATTTGCTGACCTTCACAGTGTGTTGCAAGGAACTATTATTTCCCATGCTATTTCCAAGAAGATGGGTGAATGGGAGAGAGGGGCTGAAGGGAAAGGCTCTGGATTTTATGGATTGGGAAGAATCATTATGGTTGAACTGAGTCAGTTTGAACTTTTGCATATAATTGATGGCATTGTACATGACATGGGAGCACTGGAAAAGCATTTGATAAAGATGAATATCCAGTATTACTGTATTGTATTTCGGTTACCAACTTTTTGTTAAAGACAAAAGTAAATTGCTGATAGTACATTTTCTTATGTAAGGATTAAAAGGGAGCAATAACAAATGCAAAAGGTAAGGGACTACAGCAGAGCTATGAGGAAAAGTTAATAAACAACGTGCCATAATCACAGCATCTTCCTCACTTCCTTTCTTAAAGCATTGTGTAGTATTCTCGTGAGCAATTAAACAGCTGCCGTGTTCTACCACAGAAGTGGCTGCAGTTCAGTGAAGGATGAAGTGACCCCTACGTGCTGTTATGCATAACTGTGCCCATAACCAGTCACACATTTAGTACCTTCCGACAAGCTCAAACTGGTTTGCTTTTACAAACGTTAACACCTGCAGCACCTTTGTTTAGCACCTTTCATTCTAAGGTTTCCCAAAGTGCTTTATAAGATTATATATGCAGTGTATTGTTAAACTGTCCAACACCACTCAGCCCTCCATCAAAGGGCAGAACAAAGATGTGGAAAGCAGAACTGTTCTGGAGATGCCAACATCTCCCTATTAAAGAGCCTCATCTCTCCCCTACCTTCCCCAGGGCCACACATATTTGTAGATGTCTCATGCCAAACTTACAACTAAGGCCTTGTCTACACTAGATGGGGTGCCTATCTAGCTATATTGTATAAACACTCTTGGGGAGATACAGTTTATACTGGCAAAAGACTTCTTACTGCTTATACCAGTTCCCCAAACAAAATAAGCTATACCAGCAAAAGGATGTTTTGGTTAGTATGCTTCCAATGAAGTGAGCTCACGAAAGCTTATGCTCAAATAAATTGGTTCATCTCTAAGGTGCCACAAGTACTCCTTTTCTTTTTGCGAATACAGGCTAACACGGCTGTTACTCTGAAACCTGCATCTACATGAGGGTTTTTGCTGGTGCAGCTGCTATATCAAGTAGTGGGCAATTTTTCCACACTACCTACCAACATAGATAAGCCAACAAAACTTTTAAGTGTAGACAGGCCTTAGTCAATTCCTTAGAAACAGAAATGTGGCTTACCTTATTGAAGATTTTGTTTGCGGAGGGCCAGCACAGCAAAAACATTGTTTCCAGCTCCCTGTAAGCAGAACAGCAAAAGACAGAAGTACAATAGGGCTTTTGCCTTCCAGTTTATTCATCGCAGGGATTCCAATGTACCCTAAACTTGGAAAGCGATTGATTTATAGATTCCCAAGGTCAGAAGGGACATCTAGTTTGATCTCCTGTATAATACAGGCCATAGAATGTCCCCAAAATAATTCCTAGAGCATATATTTTAGACAAACATCCAATCTTGATTTAAAAATGGCCAGTGATGGAGAGTTCACCATGACCCTTGGTAAATTGTTTCAATGATTGATTACACTCACCAGTAAAAATTGACACCTTATTAAGATGAACCCTGACTCTGGCTGAACTCTGAAAAATTAAACACAAACTGAGCAACTGGTGCTGATTATATGCATAGGCTAGGTCTATACTAGGGAATGTTTACAAAAGATTGCCATCATTGCAATGTTAGGAGCCCTAGTGTAGAGAGCTTTCTGGCTCTAGCAGCCATTTTCAGCATCAGCCTATTGAAGCGAGCCCAGTTGACACAGTGCTGAAAATGGCTGGCAGAGTCAGACTACACTTACACTTCCTCACATGGCTAATGCAGCAATATTAGCAACAGTGAAAACTCTTCTAGACAAGGCCATTCAGAAAAGAAAAATCTTGAAGTCATTGGAGACTCCTGTTTCGGTTAAGTAAGCATTTTTGGGGGTGGGAAGACATGACCAAATTAGTTCCATCATCAAACAACTCTACTGCCTCCCCATGCATTGCAAGATCCAGTTCTAAACTGACCACTTTCACTCACATCCCTGGGATGCCAATCTCACAGATTTTGTCTATCACCTCTCCTTTCATTTTTCACACCTCTTGTTTTAATTTGCCCTTCTCTCCTTCCCTCTGTGCAACTGGGTGCTGGCGGTGAAGGAGGCATCTCCTTTGCCGTTATTGCCATCTGAAACAGCCTGATTGTATCTCTCTGCCTCTTCAATTATCCATCTCATTTCAAACAGGTGGTGGAAACATAACTTTTCTCTCTGCTTAGTTTTTCTTTCTCTCTGTTGTTATTGTATTCTTTAACTCAGCAAAGCAATTTGGGATACAATTTGAATGAAAGATATACAAAATTAAGTTGTATAGTGTGCCAGTTATTCCTCAAAAATGTCATGCAAGAATCCTTGAGACAATTAGGTGATTTGGAAGCACAATAGAGGGACCCCAACATTTCTCATATGTGATGTAACACTATAGTATAATAATGAAGTGGTACTTAGTGAAATAAGTTTTAGGTATCTCAGCTCTGACTTGATATAACACAGTAAAGGCTTCAGAGCATGATGCAAAATTAATGGATTTGTTGAGCCACTCAGGAGACATCAGAGGACTGAGACACAATGACAATAGGCTCACACATTGGAAACCAAATGATGCTAGTGACTTTTTGAGCACTGTTACCATACACCAAGAGAAACAGGTAGACTTCCTGAACTGGTATAAACCTCAGTGCAGAATATGTTTTAAACAACCTCAGGAGAAGGACGTGAAACAGAAGTGCAAACACACCTCCTTGGGATCCATGGCTTACTAAAGCTTTCCTGAGTTTTAGCCACATGGACTTGCTTGGGTGGAGGGGCTTGTTTTTCTAAGATCACCAGGGCTGCTCTTGCTGACAAGTCCTAGGACTTTATTGTCTGGGCAGAAACAACGAGGAGTCTTGTGGCACCTTAAAGACCAACACATTTATTAGAACATAAGCTTTCGTGGGCTATGACCCACTTCAGCCCACAAAAGCTTATGCTCTAATAAATTTGTTAGTCTTTAAGGTGCTGCAAGATTCCTCCTTGTTTTTGCTGAAACAAAGTAACAAGGCTACCACTCTGAAACTTGTCTGGGCAGGGAATTTCCAGGTCAGGATTCAAATTTCCCCCTTTCTGCGGTGTGGCAGCTTTTATCACACAGTGCAAGGCATATTTGTTCTGGCAGGTCTTTCAATAATCATACTGGTAAATCTGCAGCTTAGTGTTTTGGGCCAGCTGACTTGGACTGCAACTCCTGAGGACAGAGTTGGGCTTTAATTGCCGCCATGCTCCCTGGATGCTAGTGCAATAGGTGTCATTTAAAATAAATCTTGGGGAGCAGAGGGAGCCGGCAGCATTTCCAGCCTGGGGCCCAGGGCAGCTGCCAGCTGAGTGTGGCCTGGGACACCAGTGCTAAAGTGAGGCTGGGTGCACAGGGAGAGCTGGGAGCCTGCCCTGTGCCCTATGGCTGGGGTTGCTGCGCCCCACTGGGGCAAAGTGGGGCAGTCCAGTCTCTGTGCAGGGAAGCCCCACAGGGCACAGCCCCCTCCCTCTTCGGGTGACCAGATGTCCTGGTCCCTCTCACCTTTCTTCTCCCCCATAGCATCAGCTGCCTCTGCCCCTCTCAGCCCCACGCAGTGGGGCTGGGCAGCCGGTGGGGGGCGCTGACTGGCTGCCTTCTCCGCCCGGCGCACTAAACCCCCTCCATCCCTCCCGCCCCGTGGGAAACTCAGGCCCCCGTGACATCCCAAGGGGCTTTTCTGACGTCACGTGGGCAAATACCGACAACGCCACACAGCCGGGCGCTCGGCGGGCGCCTTTCGCTGGGCGCGCTGCAGCACTCCGGGGTCCGCGATCCAGGCTGTGGGCAACGCGGATCGAGCAGGCTACTCCGTGTGCACGGTCCTATTGCGTCCGCATGGATTATACTGCTGCTAAATCTACATTGCACGCGGATTGCAGCACTGCATCCAGTGTCGATTTGGCGGTGTAATCGGCGTGGATCCAGTCATGCCATCTATCTCCAGTGTAGATTCGGCAGTGTAATCCATGCACCATGTGGAGTCCTCAACACGCTCCATGTGCAATATGGATTCACCACGGTAACGTATCTGCAGCGCAGCGGCTGGTTATTTGGATCTGATCATCTCTTTGCAGACAGGCAAGAAGAGCGCAGCAAGAAATAGGCATTCATTTTGTGTGTATATATTAAAAGGTACTATTCTTCTTTGATTTTAGCAAAACAGAGCAAAGCACAGCAATTGCCAATAACATAATCACAGGTTTCAGAGCAGCAGCCGTGTTAGTCTGTATTCGCAAAAAGAAAAGGAGGACTTGTGGCACCTTAGAAACTAACCAATTTATTTGAGCAAATAAATTGGTTAGTCTCTAAGGTATAACAATCACAAACTCTTGTAATGTACAGTATACCAACAATATGTAATTTAATTTCTTGAAGCGTTCTTTTCCACAGGTTCTTATATTTAAAGTGTAGTAACATCAGTTAATTGCTGGTGTGTCTTTAGACAACCCTTTCTCAGTGATTAACTCTACAAAGAACTCACCCAGGGGACACCCCAGAAGGGAACAATCATGTAAATTATTTGTTAACTTTTTTGTACAAGGAATACAAATATAATTATAAAGTTAGGAGTACTCATAATAGTGAAATATATATTATAGCCAGTAGGCCTCCAGGTTTCCAGAGCAGCACAAGTCAAACATGGCCAATAGCTAAGTGTGAAAATGTGCAGTTGAAGATAACCAGTTTTTTAAGTAACACTTCATCATAAAGATGTTTTATTTTCCACTAATATGAACGCTGCTGGTATTTTTGCTCACTGCACTGCTCATTAATAAAACCAGGGGGCAGCCATTCCTCATGTTAAGCAGCACTTATTTGCAGAAGAGATCCCATTGTGCTCACACTTGCAAGTGTTCCCCTGGGGAAGAGAGTTGAAGAAGGCACAAGTGGCTTGTTGCATTGCTGAATGGAAGGTGCACAGATACCAGGGTGACAGGAAGGCTTCAAGAAGAACCTGAATAGATTAAGCTACACAGGTGAGCAAGTACTTTTCAGTTTAATTCAGATTTGTAGCATTTGACTTTGTGTCAGCATAAACTAGATGAAGTAATTTTATACAGGAGTTCACATATTTAGTCAGAATGTGGACCACTTCTTATGAGAGAACTGGTGGCCCACCTCCCTGGCACTATCCCCATTACGAGCCCATTCTCTAGAGAAATTACAATACTTGATGAATCTGTACATTACAATTAATGCTCTTCAAAATCAAGAAAGCCTCCTTTCCCAAACCAAATTCCACTATTTCAGTTTTCTCTTCATTGAATCTCCCCAGCACCTTCCTCCCCACCAAGCAACCCCTCTCCTCCTATTTGCCCCATTCAATCATTCATCTTAATCATTCAGGTCTAGATCTTCAAAGGGAGTTAGGTGCTTAATTCCCTTTCATTTCAAGGGACTGGGAGGTAGGTGCCTAAATAGCTTTGAAGATCTGGGCCTGAGTCCTTTGTCTCACTTGAACCTGACCAGTACTCAGTCTAACATAAACGAAGAGGTGTGTGTGTGGCTAACCCTAGAACAAGGAGCCTTCCCTGCTACTCAGACCCTGGATATGGATATGGAATCCCAGTCTCTTGGGTCAATCCCTCTGCTCTGGAGTGTAACTGCACCTTGGTCTAGATGGCCCAAGAGTCCAGGTTCAAGTGTCTGACCATCACTGGAGCAGACACTTCTCAATGTATTACTTCTAGTTGATTAAAGGAGTGGGGGAAAGCTATTCTCAACAGAAATGACAGAGACCCGTGTATTAGAACTACAGTACTAAGACGCCAGGCTCCTTCAGATCTCTGTTCGGAACCGCAGTGTGCTCCCAGCCATTTTCCTCTCATAATCTTCATTGAATCTCTCATTCTGGGCCACAGTAAAGTGATTCTTCCAGTCCCCAGCAATCCCTGAAACAAAAAAGAGAATGAAACAGCAAAGCCCTTGCTGAAGCAAAAGAACTCCCGATGTTGGAAAATGAAATAGAAATAGTATCAAGAAAACATTAATAGTCTAAATTCTACACTCAGTTACATGCTTTTCTCTAGCTCAGGGGTTCTCAAATGGGGAGTCATGACCCCTCAGGGGGTTGCAAAGTTATTACGTGGGGGTTGAAGCTGTCAGCCTCCACCCCCAAACCCTGCTTCACCTCCATCATTTTATAAACGTGTTTTTAATGTATAAGTGGGGGGGGGGGGTCACACACAGGCTTGCTATGTGAAAGGGGTCACCAACACAAAAGTTTGAGAACCTCTGCATCAAGCTCCAATAAACTTGTGGGGTGTAACTGAGGCCAGAATTTGAACCTAGATTTATTAAGTAAATACATTTTTCATGCACTACTAACAAAAGTGTAGTGAATTAAAGTGAGCGTTAGACAAAAACTTAATGAGGGCCAGATCCTTCACAGTGCTGAGCACTCCCCACCTTCCAGTAGCTGCTATATGCAAGAAGAGCTAGTCTGCCTAACACTTTGAGCACCCTTTCCATATACTGAGGACAAAAGGCATCAAGAAAAATGCTGGCATCCAGGATAGCTGATTGATTAAAATAGCAGACTTAGAAAAAAAAATGTTTTGGTAGCAATTAGCTTTTAACTGGAATTTAGTCACTGAAAAGTTGGTGAACTGAAATATTGTATTGATCATTTTTCTAATTGTTTGTGGAAGCGCTGGGTGGATGCCAGAGAAAGCAAGCCAGCTAACCAGATCCTGCATTCCATATCGATTGTTTTAAACATAGTTTTAGTATGGAAATTATTCCCTCTCACCTATATTAGTAAACATGTTTATTACAGTAGCGTCCAGGGAAGAGACTGGCACTGTACACACAGAGTAATAAACAGTTCTGGTCCCAAACAGCTCACACAGTATCATTGTGTCTTGTGGCAGTGCTCTGGCTTTGCCTCAGGGGGTCCTGTGCTTCTAGGTGGTTAGGGCTTGCCTCCGAGGTTTGCTGTGACCCTCACTGTAGCCTCTCTCCTCTCCTAGAGGCAAGGGTTACAGCTTACTGATCCACCATCATCAGCCAGTCAATGGGTTTGGTGTAAGAGCCCTCTTTAGTCCCTTTCTTCCTACTCAGGGAGCATTTTTGTAGAGGTGTGGGAAGGGTTGGGGGAACCCACACCCACCCTCTTCTCTGGGTTCCAGTCCAGGGACCCTAATGGCACCAGCAACAGGTAGTTTTCCTATACTACCAGAGCTATAACCCTTCCCTGGGTTACTTCCCCAAACAGCCCCTCCTAGCACCTCTCCCCCCTTGGTACCTGACCACACTTCTTCTCCCAGGTCTTTTACTGCTCACCTTCTTTCTCCCAGTCTTTCCACAACACACCTTCTTTCTCCCAGCTATTACCAGTCAGTGTCTCTGAAGGAGCTTCCTTTTAAACTAGTCCCAGATGGTTCTAAATGGACTTCAGGTGATCTGATTAGCCTGTTTCCCTTGATTGTTTCAAATTTGTTCCAGGTGTCTTATGGAGTCTGCCTGACTTCATGGCTTCTAGCACCTTCCTGACCGCTCTGGGGCACTCTCTGCCCCGGTCACTCAGGGAACAGAAAACTATTCGTCCAGTGTGTTTTCCTTCTACCAGACTCCTGCACCAAACTGGTCTGGGTCTGTCACAGTCTGTACTCCAGCCTTTGATTCTATTTTTATTTTTCTCAGTTGTCTCCTATGGCCAACATGCTTCTTTGCTTTTCTTTTTCTAGTGAATGTGAGGCATGGCAAAGATATCTTATGGAGATGTGGGGATTTAGGGCCAAATTTTGAAAGAGCGTAGCTCCCATTTAGGCACTGGAAAAAAGTGGCCAGATTTTCAGAAGTCTTTAACAGGCGACAGCTCCCGTTGTTCTCAGTGGGAGCCGCTGGATGCTCGGCACTTCTGAAAAATCCAGTCACTTCGTTTTGATGTTTAACGAGCTGAACTCTTGAAAATCTGGCTCTACTGCCCCCATTTCATCAAAGATCAAGTTCTAAAGAGGTAGCAGCAGCAGAGTGCAGGCTTGTGTAATGACACTCTGCTCTGTTCTTCGGGTGACTACTTCTAGGGGTGAGAGTGTAGTTCAGTCTCCATGCCCACTCAGTCCTTGGCCTCTTTCATGAGACTGGGGTTGCTAATTAGTGTCTTATGTCACGGCATCTGTGAGATATAAACACCGGTCCACTAGAAATGGTACCACCAACCTATTTTACACAAGCTACTGAAAAGCCATCAGATATAAACATGACCACCTTTCTGGGTAGCTTACGAAGGAAAACTGGATGAAAAAGTATCTTCCTGTTACAACTGAGGAGAAGAAAAATGGTTGCTAGTGCCTGTGTGAATCCTTACCTTTACGCATGAAAGGGGAGATGCTTTGATCCATTATATCACTTGGGGTCATCTTATAATTTGTGGTGAGATTCTCTTTCATCATTTCAAATGAAGTGTGATAGACGATCCTGTCCAGAACCTCCTCCTTCAGATCCTTCCCCAGGAACTGCATCACCTTGCAAATTTCACACTTTGGATCCTACAGAAAGACAAGTGGCACTTCAGATGGTGTGCGGTGGGACCCAGTGGCTCAACTAGTCAAGTGAAAGTCGCCACTACCATGTAACGTAGTGAAAGTCTAGAACTTTTATGAGGTGCCAACAACCTTAGTTGTTCCACTGTATCAAAACTAACATCCAGCGATCCATCAATACATTTCATCAACCTTGCCCCCAATTCTTACCCCCCTTCCCAAAATAAAAAGGAGATTAATAGCCAAAAAATCTCCTTTGTCTCCCTCCCTAGCATTAGCACATTGCACAGGCAACCGTAATTCTGGCACTGCCTAACTTTTGAGTACTTGACTTTGCAACCCAAATAATGTTATTTTAACATAGTTTTTTTGGGGGGTATAATATGTTTAGAGAAAGAGAGACCAAGACTGGTCTGTAACTCACCAGTCCCATTGCTTTATTTAGAAAGTGATGCAGACAGCCACTCTGGAGGGACCCTAATTCCAGCCACATCTTCCCCAGCCAGTCACAGAATTCTTAGGGCCGTATCCGCAGCTGCTCTAAATTACTGCAGCCCTACTGGCTACACCAGTGGAACTATGCTGATTTGTGGACCTGGCCCTTACTCTCAGACTTCACTTCCTCTTCAGCAATATGTGGATGCTAAACTTCAGGATAACCCAGCTCCAAATACTAGCCCATATTACTGTTAATTGGGAAGGTAGTGACTAATTCCATTTCATATAGTTCAAAGCTAGAGTTTGGATGTTTTCCCAAATCTCTCTGGTATGGAAATCATCCAAGATCAGGCTCTCATGCATTTCTGGTACTGCTGGATTGGAAATACCCACTTCCTCTCCCAGCTAAAACCAGGAATTCCAGAGTGAAATTAAAGGGAACAGGAGCAACTGCTCTCTTTCACATCCCCATCTAAACTTCATTTGGGTCTGAGCGAGGGGTTAAGTCACTTCTAGACTAGTTCCCCCATCTTTAATAACATGCTTCCCTAACTTTCCCCTCCTCTTCCTGCCTCTTAATAAATGTGCTACATCAACATTTTTAAATGAGAGTTAAAAGTCTCTTTAAAGAAAGCAGCCCTCTTTTGGTGCTTGCTCTTCAAGCGATGCACTCCATAAGGCTGTACTCTAGCATGGGCAAGAGGCTTTGGGAAAGCAGAATGGCCCAGTGGTTAGGGCACTAGCTTGGGACTCAGGACACCTGGATTCAGTTCCTTGTTCTGCCACACACTTCCTGTGTGACCCTGGGCAAGTCACTTAACCTCTCTATGCCTCAGTTCTCCAGCTGTAAAAATGGGGATAATAGCACCCAACCTCCTCACAGGGGTGTTATGAGGATAAATCCATTTGATATCGTGAAGTGCTCATAATAAATCTAGACACAGTTCTAAATAAGGGAGAATAAGTGGGGAAGGAGGGAGGCTCACAGCTCAGGGGTAGTATTAGCACCAACCAAAGCATTTAAAGAGTCACAGTCTGGGCCTTTTACTCATGGTGGACTGCACTACCCTAGAGAGACACATTCTCTTCAGGACAGCCAGACTGATCTTCAGATGGACATTGCACAGTAGGGTAAGGCATTGAACAGGTGTCAGATTTGTTGCCTCCATCCTGGTGCATGTGGAGTGGCCCCTGAAGTGGTTACTTGTCGCCCTCTCACCTCTTTCATGTCCTCATAGAACAAGTATAATATGGGATGGTCCTTTCTCTTCTCCCACCAGCCTTTCACATGGTCATACCAGGAACCATATGCAACTAAAAGAGGAAAAGGTATACAAATACTCTTAGTGACATGAGCGTGTCAGGTCACTGGGGCTCATGTTATTTTTTGGCTGAATGCCGCTGAAATGCATTGTGTGTGCAGTTACTATGACATCATGTGAAAATCGGGTACCTGGGCACAAACCACCAGGTGTGGCTACATGCAAACACTAGATCAAATTCTTTGCCCCTTTGGTCCCACTGGCAGGTTGGAATCCTCAACTATTATTATATGTGACTGGAGCAGAAACTAGATATTACCTGACTCTTATAGAAATGCAGCTTAGGGCCAGATCCCAGCTGGCATTGGCATACTTTCAATGAAGTCAATGGTCTGATCCCCAGCTGGTGTAAATCAGTGTGGCGTCATTAAAGTAAATGGACCAGATCCGTAGCTAGTGTAAATTAGCCATAGCTCCATTGAAGTCAATGCATCTATGCTGATTTACAGCTGCTGAGGATCTGGCCCTACATTATAGTTATGTAAGGTCTGGGCCAGTGGACCCACTGCTGTGCAGATTCCCCAACCACTGCTCCCTCTGAAGGGAAGCATAGATGCAGTGGAGGCTACTCAAACTGTCCGGTCTAATAGGAAAGTTCCCTCCCTCAGTTCTCACTGCATTTCCTAGTACTCAGAGACTACACTGAAAGGCACAGCGTCTAAGTTTCCCACCGAGAGGCAGAACTTGGCCTGAATAAATTCACCTGCAGTTGCAAGTCTCTTTTCCTTTATGCTTCAAGCAGCATCAATTTAAAACCCCAGGAACATGAATTGCTAACAGATGTCAGTCTCACCTCTGCCTGCCATGTATTTCTCAATGTATTGCTCCCAAGTGCCGGGGTCTGGATGCAGCTGGTTCATCAGGTCAAAATGGTAGAAAGAAACAGCTACATCTTTGGCATTTCGGGCAACATAGATCACCTGTGGCAGGAAGAAGAGAAGAATCCATGTTGCCTCGGCGACCTTGAGTTCTGAGTGGCTCTAGACTTGGATTTTCAGAGGTGCCTAAGGGAGTTGGGTGCCTAATTTCCTTAGGCTTCGTTCAAAATCCCAGCCCTACTGCAGGGGATCCAAATTGTGGCTCAAGGGCCAAATTAAAGCTGAGGGATTGAAAGCACCCCTGGACACTGTGGTCTGAGAGTAGAGCACCGTGGACTGGGCATGGGAATAGAAGCTACAGGAGCGCTAATTCTGGTTCTGACACTAGCTTTTCCACTGACACTTTCTGTGGTCTTGGGTCGATCTCTCTGTTTCTCAGTTTCCCCATCTGTAAAAATGGGGAAAACAACAACACACATTTCTGCCAGTGTAACCCAGTGCACAGACCCCGCAGAGATGGAAATTCTGGCAGTACTAGAACTCCACCAGGGGAACAACAGGCAGGCAGCAGAACCACCAAAGGGAGTGGTGTTTGCCAAGGAGGGATTGTGACCAGGATGCCTGGGGGATTAGTGAATTCACTGCATCCCCCGGGGGCCTCCTTGTGGGCCTCAGTCACAGGTTAAACCAGCCTACCTCTGAAGGAAGGAAACAATGCAATCCCAGTCTGCCCTGCCTTGGGTCGCATCCTCCTACTCCCCTGGGTGCAGCAGTCAATGGGTCTGCTCCCATGTGCATTCAGACACAGCTGTTCATATAGTGGCAAAATACATCATGCCCGGCAGGGCCAACATGGCTACAGAGAAGTGAGCTGGATTGTATTCTGGCTCTCACCCCATCAGGCGGAATTGTTAGTTGAGTTGTAATTGTGAGACCACATTTACCCCTCAGTTATGTGTGGGTAACCTCATTGAAGACAATGGAGATTGCCCAGGAAGAAGTATTTTAAGACAATGGGTGTTGCACAGATGTTGGTAATGTTGGCAGAATTTGCTTTCCAGGATCTTTGTTACTGATGATGATGTATGAGCCAGAAAGAATCCAGTCTGTTTGTCAGATCCCAGGGTGAGCCTGCAAAGCTGACGGCTGGAAAAACATCTTACTCAACACTGAGTGAATGTTATCTAAAGGCATTGGAATCCCGTGAGGTCAATTTTAATGGGAACTGGACATCCTGATCTCTTAGGGATCTTTGAAAATCTCAGCCTAAATATGAATCCAAACTTGCATCCCAATGTTGTAAATGTAAAGCTGCAAAACTGCTGCTCTAGGTAGCTATCAGCATGGAAACTCACAAATAAATCTCTTCCCACTGGAGAAAAGAGTCAGTGGGTAAAAATGAGGGAGAGGAACCTGGCAAAGGGTGGGACTAGCATGAGTATTCTGTGTGCTCAAGGCACATGATACTTCCCCCATCAGCCTATTGTCCAGAAGGTCTGAGTTCCCAACTCCTGGTTACCTTGCAGCCATTTTCCCAGAAGGACATTGGAAGGAGCTGGACTGGAAGGTGGGTTTTCACTAAACGAGGAGATGGCTTCTTGGCTAATTGCTCTGTACCTGGTAAGCAAAGGTTCAAAGGGATCATTGATGCTGATAGAGAAGGCATTAAAGGTAACATTTCCAAAAGCACCCAAGTCTCACTGAAAGGAACCGAACCCAGATCTCCTGAGTCTTAGGCCAGTGCTCTATCCACAATCCCTTCTTTCCTCTCCTGAGCTGCAAGCCAGCCGCACTGAATCACTGACTGTTTTGTCTGTAGTCACCCAACACTAGTGCTACATTTACCTGGTGACATCTTCCCAGGGACAGCAAATTCCAACATGGGCACTTTGTTGAAAATTGCATCTCGCTTGCATTTATCAGGATCTCCATCATTCAGAATCATGTCCACAATTTCACTTATCCATGTAGTGCCTGGAAACAAGATGAGAGAAGAAAAATCCAGTCAAGAACCAGGTTTATCCACCAAGGAACAGTCAAGCAAGAACCTCATCCACTGTTCGTCCAGCCAAGACAACAGCACTTACGGTATTCAGCCTATTCATTTAGGATCTTCAGTATTCTAGCTCACTGGTTCTCAACTGTGGGTCGCAACCCCATCTTAATGGGGTCTCCGGGGCTGGCTTAGACTTGCTGAGACCCAGGTTCAAAGCTGAATCCTGAGCCCCATCATCTGACCCCCCCTGCCTGGGGCTGAAGCCCTTGGGCTTTGGCTATGGGTCCCTCCCCCACCCGAGGCAGTGGGGCTCAGGATTTGGCTTTGGCCCCCCAACCTAGGGCGGCAGGGCTCAAGAGGACTCAGGCTTCGGTCCTCCCTCCTGGGGTCATGTAGCAATTTTTGTTGTCAGAAGGGGGGGTTGCAGTGCAATGAAGTTTGAGAACTCCTGTTCTAGCTACATCTCTTCTACTCTCCTGAGGCTGAGTAGCAATGGAATATCATTAATCTGTAGCCAAACATTACAGTTTGCCAGCATTGTCAGAAGTTACTGATGGCAAGCGGCCCACTTCAGAGCTCTTTTTGTAGAAGGTCTGCAACACCTTGCAACCACACCCATTTTCAGGGATGGTGTGAGGCCTCTCCTAGGCCAACACAATTGCTAGTTGATTTTCCATTGTTATGTTTTTGATGAACATCATCACTGTGCTCAGCAGCTGCCTACAAGACACAGGAAAAGACACAGCCCTGGTCTACACTAGGACTTTAGGTCGAATTTAGCAGCATTAAATCGATGTAAACCTGCACCCGTCCACACGATGAAGCCCTTTATTTCAACTTAAAGGGCTCTTAAAATCGATTTCCTTACTCCACCCCTGACAAGTGGATTAGCGCTTAAATCGGCCTTGCCGGCTCGAATTTGGGGTACTGTGGACACAATTCGACGGTATTGGCTTCCGGGAGCTATCCCAGAGTGCTCCATTCTGACCGCTTTGGACAGCACTCTCAACTCAGATGCACTGGCCAGGTAGACAGAAAAAGAACCGCGAACTTTTGAATCTCATTTCCTGTTTGGCCAGCGTGGCAAGCTGCAGGTGACCATGCAGAGCTCATCAGCACAGGTGACCATGATGGAGTCCCAGAATCGCAAAAGAGCTCCAGCATGGACCGAACAGGAGGTACGGGATCTGATCGCTGTATGGGGAGAGGAATCCGTGCTATCAGATCTCCGTTCCAGTTTTCAAAATGCCAAAACCTTTGTCAAAATCTCCCAGGGCATGAAGGACAGAGGCCATAACAGGGACCCGAAGCAGTGCCGCGTGAAACTGAAGGAGCTGAGGCAAGCCTACCAGAAAACCAGAGAGGCGAACGGCCGCTCCGGGTCAGAGCCCCAAACACGCCGCTTCTATGATGAGCTGCATGCCATTTTAGGGGGTTCAGCCACCACTACCCAAGCCGTGTTGTTTGACTCCTTCAATGGAGATGGAGGCAATACGGAAGCAGGTTTTGGGGACGAAGATGATGATGAGGAGGTTGTAGATAGCTCACAGCAAGCAAGCGGAGAAACCTTTTTTCCCGACAGCCAGGAACTGTTTCTCACCCTGGACCTGGAGCCAGTACCCCCCGAACCCACCCAAGGCTGCCTCCTGGACCCAGCAGGCAGAGAAGGGACCTCCGGTGAGTGTACCTTTTAAAATACTATACATGGTTTAAAAGCAAGCATGTGAAAGGATTACTTTGCCCTGGCATTCGCGGCCCTCCTGGATGTACTCCCAAAGCCTTTGCAAAAGGTTTCTGGGGAGGGCAGCCTTATTGCATCCTTCATGGTAGGACACTTTACCACTCCAGGCCAGTAACACGTACTCGGGAATCATTGTACAACAAAGCATTGCAGTGTGTTTGCTGGCATTCAAACAACATCCGTTCTTTATCTCTCTGTGTTATCCTCAGGAGAGTGATATAATTCATGGTCACCTGGTTGAAATAGGGTGCTTTTCTTCAGGGGACACTCAGAGGAGCCCATTCCTGCTGGGCTGTTTGCCTGTGGCTAAACAGAAATGTTCCCCGCTGTTAGCCACAGGGAGGGGGGAAGGTTGAGGGGGTAGCCATGCGGTGGGGGGAGGCAAAATGCGACCTTGTAACGAAAGCACATGTGCTATGTATGTAATGTTAACAGCAAGGTTTACCCTGAAAGAGTGTAGCCACTGTTTTATAAAATGTGTCTTTTTAAATACCACTGTCCCTTTTTTTTTCTCCACCAGCTGCATGTGTTTCAAGGATCACAGGATCTTCTCCTTCCCAGAGGCTAGTGAAGCTTAGAAAGAAAAAAAAACGCACTCGCGATGAAATGTTCTCCGAGCTCATGCTGTCCTCCCACACTGACAAAGCACAGACGAATGCGTGGAGGCAAACAATGTCAGAGTGCAGGAAAGCATAAAATGACCGGGAGGAGAGGTGGCGGGCTGAAGAGAGTAAGTGGCGGGCTGAAGAGAGTAAGTGGCGGGCTGAAGACAGGGCTGAAGCTCAAATGTGGCGGCAGCGTGATGAGAGGAGGCAGGATTCAATGCTGAGGCTGCTGGAGGACCAAACCAGTATGCTCCAGTGTATGGTTGAGCTGCAGCAAAGGCAGCTGGAGCACAGACTGCCACTACAGCCCCTGTGTAACCAACTGCCCTCCTCCCCAAGTTCCATAGCCTCCACACCCAGACGCCCAAGAACGCGGTGGGGGGCCTCCGGCCAACCAGCCACTCCACCACAGAGGATTGCCCAAAAAAAAGAAGGCTGGCATTCAATAAATTTTAAAGTTGTAAACTTTTAAAGTGCTGTGTGGCATTTTCCTTCCCTCCTCCACCACCCTTCCTGGGCTACCTTGGTAGTCATCCCCCTATTTGTGTGATGAATGAATAAAGAATGCATGAATGTGAAGCAACAATGACTTTATTGCCTCTGCAAGCGGTGATTGAAGGGAGGAGGGGAGGGTGGTTAGCTTACAGGAAAGTAGAGTGAACCAAGGGGTGGGGGGTTTCATCAAGGAGAAACAAAGAGAACTTTCACTCCGTAGCTTGGCCAGTCATGAAACTGGTCTTCAAAGCTTCTCTGATGCGCACTGCGCCCTCCTGTGCTCTTCTAACCGCCCTGGTGTCAGGCTGCACGTAACCAGCAGCCAGGCGATTTGCCTCAACCTCCCACCCCGCCATAAACATCTCCTCCTTACTCTCACAGATATTGTGGAGCGCCCAGCAAGCAGTAATAACAGTGGGAATATTGGTTTTGCTGAGGTCTAACCGAGTCAGTAAACTGCGCCAGAGCGCTTTTAAACGTCCAAATGCACATTCTACCACCATTCTGCACTTGCTCAGCCTGTAGTTGAACAGCTCCTGACTACTGTCCAGGCTGCCTGTGTACGGCTTCATGAGCCATGGCATTAAGAGGTAGGCTGGGTCCCCCAGGATAACTATAAGCATTTCAACATCCCCAATGGTTATTTTCTGGTCTGGGAATAAAGTCCCTTCCTGCAGCTTTTGAAACAGACCAGAGTTCCTGAAGATGCGAGCGTCATGTACCTTTCCCGGCCATCCCACGTTGATGTTGGTAAAACGTCCCTTGTGATCCACCAGTGCTTGCAGCACTATTGAAAAGTACCCCTTGCGATTTATGTACGTGCCGGCTTGGTGTTCCAGTGCCAAGATAGGGATATGGGTTCCATCTATGGCCCCACCACAGTTAGGGGAATCCCATTGCAGCAAAGCCATCCACTATGACCTGCATATTTCCCAGGGTCACTACCCTTGATATCAGCAGATCTTTGATTGCGTTGGCTACTTGCATCACAGCAGCCCCCACAGTAGATTTGCCCACTCCAAATTGATTCCCGACTGACAGGTAGCTGTCTGGCATTGCAAGCTTCCACAGGGCTATTGCCACTCGCTTCTCAACTGTGAGGGCTGCTCTCATCTTGGTATTCATGCGCCTCAGGGCAGGGGAAAGCAAGTCACAAAGTTCCATGAAAGTGCCCTTACGCATGCGAAAGTTTCGCAGCCACTGGGAATCGTCCCAGACCTGCAACACTATGCGGTCCCACCAGTCTGTGCTTGTTTCCCGGGCCCAGAATCGACGTTCCACCGCATGAACCTGCCCCATTAGCACCATGATGCCCGCATTGGCAGGGCCCATGCTTTGAGAGAAGTCTGTGTCCATGTCCTCATCACTCTTGTCACTGTGCTGACGTCGCCTACTCGCCCGGTATTGCTTTGCCAGGTTCTAGTGCTGCATATTCTGCTGGATAATGCATGTGGTGTTTAATGTGCTCCTAATTGCCAAAGTGATCTGAGCGGGCTCCATGCTTGCCATGGTATGGCGTCTGCACAGAAAAAAGGCGCAGAACGATTGTCTGCCGTTGCCCTGACGGAGGGAGGGGTGACTGACGACATGGCTTACAGGGAATTAAAATCAACAAAGGGGGTGGCTTTATATCAAGGAGAAACAAAAACAACTGTCACACAGAATGGCCCCCTCACGGATTGAACTCAAAACCCTGGGTTTAGCAGGCCAATGCTCAACCCACTAAACTATCCCTCCCTCTTGTATTTCAGGCAGGACTTCATGGAGGGAAGGAGGGAGGGGGGAGCAAATGAATACAAAACAAATCTGGTCTATTTCTTGTTTTGATCCACTCCATCTATCTTTTACATCTTTGGCTGGCAAAAGCAGACGGTGCAGAAGGACTAGCCATCCTCATCTCCTGCCTGCCTTGCAAAAGGTGGTACAATAGGACTGCTGGTCATCTATATTTCCTGCCTGCTCACCATAAGATGGTACAATAGGACTGCCTGCAGGACTAAAGAGAGTGACCTGGCCGAGTCACTCCTAATGTAGTCCCTGCACCCATGTCTGCCCAGCCGCTTCTGACCGACGCGGCCAGGAGCATCTCGGACATGACGATGACGGCTACCAGTCCTATTGTACCGTCTGCTGCCACAAGGCAATGGGTTGCTGCTGCTGTGTAGCAATGCAGTACCGTGTCTGCCAGCACCCAGAAGACATACGGTGACAGTGAGCTGAGCGGGCTCCATGCTTGCCGTGGTATGGCGTCTGCACAGGTAACTCAGGAAAAAAGGCGCAAAACGATTGTCTGCTGTTGCTTTCACGGAGGGAGGGAGGGAACGGGGGCCTGATGACATGTACCCAGAACCACCAGCGACGATGTTTTTTGCCCCATCAGGCATTGGGATCTCAACCCAGAATTCCAGTGGGCAGCGGAGACTGCAGGAACTGTGGGATAGCTCCCCACAGTGCAACACTCCGAAAGTCGATGCTTGCCTCGGTACTGTGGAATCACTCTGCCGAGTTAATGCACTTAATGCACTTAGAGCATTTTGTGTGGGGACACACACAATCGATTATTTAAAAACGATTTCTAAAAAACCGACTTCTATAAATTCAACCTAATTTCGTAGTGTAGACATACCCAAAGTATGCTGGGACCTGACCTTAGTGACTCCACAAAGTCTCCAGCCCCTTACAACCCAGATAGTGTTATACTGGAAACATTAATACATTAATAAATCGACCTAACGCAGTTTATGTCGACCTAACTTTGTAGCGTAGACCAGGCCTGAGTCTCCAGACTAGCAAGGCACATCCCCAAACACTAGGACAGCCCAAGAAAATACTAAGTTAAGTTTGTCCCTTTACATTGTGGGGGAGGGGAAATGCCCATCCATCTCCCTGTGACTGCATGGTGCCTGGGTATGCCCATTTCAGATGCTTGAGGCCATAGAAAGGTCATTTCAGAAAGGAACAAACCCCAGCCCAGAAGGGTTTGGCATTCAATTTGATGGAATCATTTCCAATGAGCGGAATGCAGGCTGGGAGCTGTGAAATGCTGGAAAGTCTCCTTGGCATTCTTGCTCATTATTGTTAGCAACAGCTGTGAATCAGTGGAGCTGCTTTGCTTTCACAAGGGGAGTATGATGGGGCTTGAAGGGACCCCCCTACATTTCCAGGACCATAGGGCATGGCTCAGTGTGGCTCCTAATCCAGAAAGCCATGAAAACTCACCAGATTTGGGGTACGTGGCTATCACGATGTCATCTGGCTTACTCTGGAAGTTGTCAATCCTTTCCCAGTTGTATGAAAACGCGCAGACCATTGGAATGTCATGGACTATCCTCCAGTCCTGCCGAAGGTAATCTGGTAAAGCCATGCTGAGGGGGAGAGTTCAGCAGAGTATAACTGGCAGGACAGAAGATGGGAGAGCAGCTGGACAGGAATCTCATTTATGTTCCCAGTGTTCTCAGACACTCAGTTGAGCGTGGCGGGATATTTCTTTTTTTGCAGCAGCTGGCCTGTCCCTTTCCAGCTGTTTAATAGCGCATGCCCTTGGCTATGTTTCCATTAAAAACTGAGGCAGCAAAGGAATTTCTGATGAGCGCAAACCATACCACCTTTCACAACATTAGATCACAGACAGCAGCATGTTTCGAAAGAGTTCATTGCTCCGCTTTCTAACCTACTGACTCCTTTGTCAGTATAGGGGGGTGGAGATGGAGGGTATGCAGAAGTCTTATGTTCAGGCTCTCTCAGATCTCACCCAGAAAAAGCAAACAGTTTTTATTACCTAAAAGAGTAAAGGACCTTGATCCTCAATGCCAAGAAAATTGCTTTTAAAGGCTGGAGAGATGCAAAGGAACAAATATTTGTAGTAGGCCAGACCCATGCATTGTTTTCCCGCTGTACGTGATGGATGGGGACTCAGGAGACCTGGAGTCTGTTCTCAGCTATACCTTGTCCTTGGACAAGCCACATAATCTCTCTGTGCCTCAGTTCCCTATCTGCAAAGTGGAGATGATGATAGTCCCTTTCTCACATGCTTTCTCTATATAGACTCTTTGGGGCAGAGGCTGACTTTCTACGTGTTTGTACAGCGCCTAGCACAATGGAGCCTTGAATTTAATCAAGGTCTCTAGCAGCTACCATAATAAAAATAATACAAAAAGGGGGGACCTTTTGTCATAATAATCAAGGTGGGCCGTTTCCAGCAGTTGACAAGAACCTGTGAGGAACAGTGGCGGGGAGGAAGGTATAAACATGGGGAAATAGTTTTACTTTGTGTAATGACACATCCACTCCCAGTCTTTATTCAAGCATAAGTTAACTGTATCCAGTTTGCAAATTAATTCCAATTCAGCAGTCTCTCATTGGAGTCTGTTTTTGAAGTTTTTTTTATTGAAGAATTGCCACTTTTAGGTCTGTAATCGATTCCCCCCGCTCTCCTGCTGGTAATAGCTCACCTTACCTGATCATTCTTGTTACAGTCTGTATGGTAACACCCATTGTTTCATGTACTCTGTGTATATAAAATCTCCCACTGTATTTTCCCCTGCATGCATCCGATGAGGTGAGCTGTAGCTCACGAAAGCTTATGCTCAAATAAATTCGTTAGTCTCTAAGGTGCCACAAGTACTCCTTTTCTTTTTGCGGATACAGACTAACACGGCTGCTACTCTGAAACTTTAAGCAGTAAGGAAAATGACGGACAGTGCCAACTCTCATTGCCCTTCATGAACCCTCTTCATTCCCGCCAACACACAAGGCAGGAGAGGAAAGTTTAGTTTTGTCTCTTCAGACCTTATTTTCCTCTGAAAAAAGCAAATGAAGAATATTTTAGTTGCTGCTCAGAAATGGTCACATTTTAGAAGCTGCTGAGCAAAGGAATTTTAGAGAAAGGCAAATAAAGATGCTGTAAACTAGCAAATAATTTACCATTGTGAGTCTTAAAGTCATATGTAAATCACCAGACAATTCATAATCCTGTCCCCCTCTCCTTTTACAAAATCTAAGCTTGGAGTCTGCATCACTGACCATTTCTGCAGTCCCAGACTAAAATGAGTCATGTGTTGAAGCCCTAATAAAAGTATAGATCCATTTTATAATTGTGCATCCAGCCCTACCTTTCCCCAGTGCACACAACTCCTCTTCCCAGGTCTTAGATGGAGAAATCACAAGACTGTGCATTGAACATTCCAGTCTGGAGAGTTTGCAGTGCCAAATCCTCCTAAAAATGCCCAGGTTTCTTCCTGGATGTGTATACCACCAGTCCTAGACAGGCTGCTCTGCCTGGCCTGGCTGTTCGCTCAGACAACGGAACAGACAGACAAACTCCTAACAGTAACAGGCCAAAGAGTTGAAGTCTGAGTTTACCTTTCTCCTCTGGCAGTTCTGCTCTTGTGGGGAGAAGGAAAGGCTGTATGAACTCGCATGATCTTCACAAGGATATTGTGAAAGGATTGGGGCGGGCTCATTGCGCTGGCAAGAACATAAAAAGCCCTCAGGAACTGCAGCCAAGGAAAACAAAACGTCCCAGTTCTATGAACAGTGTCTGTGAGAGGGAGGGGCTTGGGAGTAAGAGATAAGCTCGGCGGAAGGCCAGGGAGGAATACCTTCAACTTGCTGAGAGGCTCCGAAATGAGGCCAATTGGAAAAGGCAGGAGGCCAGGGTCACCATGTCCCCTGGGCTATTCCAAGAGCAGTGAGGAATGCAGGTGTTTCTTCTGGGTCAAGGTCATATTCAGGAGCAGGTGACGCACATGACTGCCTGGAGTGCCAGGCTTGAGGGGTGCTGGGCTCAGGATGCTGGGAAAATAGAATGTTTGAAGTGAAATGTTTCAGGTATTCCGTATGTGACTTCATTTATTAACTAACCTCCTAAAATGTTCTGGATCTTTGTAGAATTTCATAGAATCTTCCAGACTTTCTCAAAACCACATTTTCCTTGAACCTCCTAGACTGTTATCAGCCATGCCCCCAGAGGAAGATAAGGGTTGTGGCATCACCAGTCAGGCAGTGAGATATGAGAATGAAGTGAAGTGAAGTGAAGTGAAGCGAGAGCCCAGCTGCAATATTGTGAAAGTGTACTTGTGTTTTAAGAGTTGAAGAGTGTAAGTAGCAACTAATAAAGGGCATATTTTATGAGACACCAGAGATATCTATCGAACCCCTATCTACGCAACTATATAAAAGGATTACTGTTACTTCTCTTGTCGTGTATAATATGTAATGTTTGATGACTTTTTAAGACTTTTGCTGTCCCTAATGCTGTCTGTTTTCCCCCATAGAAAATAAAAGATGTTCCTAAAAAAGCCTTCAGGAGTTCAGGATTGGGCTCAGTATTGCAGCAAGGTGCAAATGTGATGGGAAAATAGGCGCCGACTCCATGGGTGCTCTGGGGCTGGAACACCCACGGGGAAAAATTATCGGGTGCTCCGCAGCCACCGGCAGCCAAGCTCCCCGCCTACTTCTCTCCCCTCCGAGCGTGCCGCGTCCCCAGACCCCTGTCCATCCCAGCGCTTCCCGCCCACCCCCCACAGCGCCTAACAGCTGTTTGAGGGCGCTTAGGACTTTCCGTGAGGGAGTGGGAGGAGCTGGGACACAGCGCGCTCAGGGGAGGAGGCGGAGAAGAGGTAGAGCAGGGGTGGGGACTTGGGAGAAGGAGTGGAATGGGGGTGGGGCAAGGGTGGTGCAAGGGTGGGAAGAGGTGGGACCGGGGCGGGGCTGGTGTCGAGCACCCATAGGGAAGAGGGGAAGTCGACGCCTATGGATGGGAAAATATCTGAAACAGAACATAGACCAGGCTTTAGGCAGTAGTGATCATTCCAGTGTGAGGGCAAAAGCAAGAAAAGCACCCTTTTGAACTAAAGGACTAGGGTTCATATTCTAAGGCTGTCCCCTACTGTAACACTATTTAGTACTGGTCCAGTTATTTGAGCTTTGTACATTTCAGTTATTCTTGAAATTAAAAGGTTTCTATAAGCTTAGAGTAAACAATTTTTTTACATTTGCTTATATATGGCATGAATAAATACTGATGTACAGCTCCTAGCATGCAAATTTGTCATCCTATATGACAGGGATAAATCATGCATGCAAATCATGCATCAAAGTCATGAAATTGGCTACAAATGCAATAAAAAATAAGGTATTCAAAAGTTTAACAAATGGAATGGGGGATGCTGAAGACACTCCTCATCTGGAGTGCCATTTGGTCGAGGGCCAGCCCTGTTCTGGGCCACACCTGTGGTCATGTTACAAAACCACGGGGAAGTCACATCACTCAGGCTACCAGCCTCCAGACATTATAGGGGTTCACTGGCAATGACAAATGTAGTAGAATGCAAACTCAGATTTACAGCCTTTAATCTGTATGTGTGCTCATAGGCAGGCACATTTGACATACATATGCAGTTTGAATGAACTCTTCTTTTGCAGGACACCTCTTAATATCTACAGAGCTTTTCATCTCAAAGCACCTAACAGTCTACACATCAGTTTTGGCATATATAGACTTTCTGGAATCTGCTGGTTTGAGTCACAGCAGGCTCGGCTCAGCTTTTCAGGTATAGTAGACAAACTCAGTACCATGTAGTTTACTGTGTAGGGCCTTGTAGATGAGTCCTTAAAAACTGAGGCCAACGATATTTTCCCAACGATACCTTGCTATTGTTTGCTAATGATAGTAGCTGCATAATCCCTCTGGTGGAGTCTTACCTCAGTGTAGCCATCTCTTGTGATTTTACCACAAGACACATGATATTTGGTGGGTTTTCTTCAAGCCCCAGCCCTTGGAGTCATGTGGTTATGTGAGAATCTCAGCACACAGCAGCTGAAACCATCACTGATCCTAGTGGCAGTCCAGAGGGATGGGGCTTGAAGTCCCATCTGCATTATCCAAATGGCAGTTATGGAACTGAAGACCCCACAAAAATAGAAACATATGGAAAAAATTATATCTAAAGTAGTTAATAGTTGCTGTTTGCTTTGGTGCCCCCATTTAATTTCAATTTCTCCCTTGTCCAAGCCAACTAAACACCTAAGCCAGATGGGGGAAGGAAGCTACTGCTGCTTCAGATTTCTGTTCGGAACTGCAGTGTCGATCCCTTCATCTTCTCTTTATAATCTGAGTCAAATGCCTCATTCTGGGCCATGGTAAAGTGATTCTTCCAGTCACCCGCGATACCTGGAGGAGAAAACCAGGAATCATTGAGTGAAATTCTGTGGCCTGTGTTATGCGAGAGTTCAGACTAAATGATGACCATAATGGTCCCTTCTGGCCTATAAATCTGTGAAACCAAAGGAATGATTCAATCTATAGTCTTTCTCCCTTCTGCCACTTGCCTCTTTCAGAGATCTCACTAGGGCTTGGTTAAATGGTGACAATTTTTCACTCTAATTCCCCATTAGTTCCATTTCTCCTTGAGCAGTGTTTTTCCTAGGCAGCTCCATCATTAGCCAGATTTGGCTGGTAAAGGATAAAACGGATCCTGAGATTTTTCCCACCTATGGAAGCAGAACTAGTGGCTGGCTTTTCCCCAGATTATAGCTATTATTGGCCCTGCTTCCATGTTACCAGCCTTTCCTCCTTTCTTGTAAACCCTCCTATAATTGCTGTGAGGGGCTCTCACCTTTTCTCATAAAGGGAGACACACTGTGGTCCATCTGAGCTTTTGACATCATCTTATAATTGGCAGTGGGGTTCTTCTGCATCTCCTGGAATGAGGTGTGATGGAGGATTTTATTCACCACATCCTCCTTCAGGTCCTTTCCCAGAAACTGTAACACCTTTTGTATTTCACGTTTAGGATCCTAGAAAGAAAGACAGATTGTCAGATGCCACACAGAACGATGTGGAAACTATTACAAGGTGCTTGCACAATGTCACTTTCTCAGCCCAGGTGGTAGGGATTGGGGACAGTGAGAATGGAGGGGTTTGGCATTTCCTTTTGAAGGGAGATCCCTAATCTCCCAAATCCGTGTGTGTGTAATATTATTGGGAATCACCAGATAGAACTATTGCAAATTATATTGGCTAGTTCTGTTTATCTGAATGTATAGGAGTTGGATCTTGAAGACATGCCTTTTGTCAACTGTGACATCGTTGTTTTCAGAAGTTGAGTATATTACCTGTGAAGCCTCACCCCTCTGCCTGATTCTCTTGCTCTCTGAATAAGTATTGTTGATAGGCATAGCTGCTGCCTACTTGTTATCCTCATGCAAACAAACAACGCACTTGGGGCCAAAACATTAGATGAGTTTATATTCTTTCCCTCCCGCACCTCTTTCATGTCTTCATAGAACAGGTACAGAATCCGCTTGTCCTTTCTCTTCTCCCACCAGCCTTTCACATGATCATACCAAGGTCCAAACACAACTAAATCAAAGACAAAGGAGTAGAAGAGAAGGGAAACATTCACATTTAATATGGATTCACTGTGATATCAGCAAAGAAGTCAGGTTAAATAGTGAATATTTTGTGTGGCTCTCAAAAAAAACCCATAATGGCACAATCATACCAGGATAATGGGTTGATAGGGAAATAAGGGGGTGCTGGATGTCTTGGGACACCCCTTTTAACACAACTCATTCCCCTTCCCGTCCCCCCAGGAATAGATAACTTGAGACATTAACTAGTCAACCTGACTGCCTGAGCATCTAAGAGATGTTCTAGGAGGATCTGGTTCTTGGTTTTGGACCAGAAACCAACAAGTGGAGGCTAATGGGAGATGTGTTCATGTTCTTTTATCTTGCCCCGTAGGGGCTTCTGTCTAACTGAAATTTGGATACACTCATGGAAAGAGATTCTCAAGTGGTATAATAAAGTATCTTTAGAGCAGCTAATAATCTGCTCCATAGTTCTTAGTTTAGCAGTGTCACAGCCTGTGAGTTCAGTGTTGTAGGGAGAATCTAGCTTCAAGTTTTACCTTCCCCAGTCACAAACTTCTCCAAGAATTCATCCCAGGTGCCAGGCTCTGGATGTATCTTTGCCATTTGGTAGAAATGGTAATAAGAGACTGCCACATCCTTCGCATTTCGGGCAACGTAGATGATCTGCGGAGAAGAGAAGGATGTTTACATGGTCAATCGAGTCTATGTTAGAGTAACAAAGCTGATTGAAAAACAAGAAAATAAATTTGCAAAAATATTTTCAGATTTCCCCTCACCCATATTTTCATTGAAATCTGACCTTTTCAATTCTAAACATTTCAGTTGGTTCTACCATTGGCCAAAAAAGAGAGGGGTGGGGAGATTTATTAACACTGTCTAATTTCCCATCAATTTTGCAACCAAACTTCAAAAAAATGTGACCAGTTCTATTGAATGAGCAAGTGGCACTTCAGCTGTTTGTAGGACACTCTCCAGAGTCACTATAAGTCTCATTGAATAAATCACTCTAAGAGCGATCCCTTCCAGGCTTAGTCATGGCATTAAAAGGAAAATCCCTCTGAATTTTGAAAAAAAATGAACTGCCCAGAGCGAAAGAGGTGTGGCAGAAATTCACAAGGTCACAGTCAACTGACAGGGACTGGCAGAGTAGGCAACATTACTGTTCCTCAGCTATATAAAAGCTTTCACCCAGGGAAGTCATAGCACTTTACAGTCCTAAGTAATGTAGTGTTTTGCAGATGGGGAAACTGAGGTACAGGGAGGTACACTGAGCAGGAGAGGCAGAATTGGGAATAGTACCCAGTAGGCCTAATGGCTACTCTTGTTCTTTAACCATAATTGCTGCCTCCCCCATCAATGCAAAGAATCAAGCTGGAGGGGAGAGAGAAAGAGATTGAGTCCAACAATTAGAATTTCCTTCACAGTTGCCTAGAAAAGAGCACCCTGCTCTTAGGGAGGAAATCCTAGCCCCACTGATGTCAATGAAGTCAGGATTTCACCCTCAGGGTATGTCTACACTGCAACTGGAGGTGTGATTGCAGCCCACAGAAGATATACCCGTTCTAGCTTTAATCTATCTAACACAGCTAAAAATAGCAGGGAAGACACAGGGATGTGGGCTTCAGCATGGCCTGTACAGGCATGTCGGGGATCCTGGGGATATATTCGCATTGCTAGCCTGCACCACCATGTCTTCACTGCTATTCTTAGCCATGCTAGCTAGATTAAAGCTAGAGTGGGTAGGCCAACCTGTGCTTCAGATCACACCTTTGGTTGCAGTCTAGATATGCCCTTAGTCCCTGCTATAACCTGGCCCTGAATCCTCCTCTCCAGCACTGCTGATGGTATCAAATATGTCTGCAAAGTGCATGGATTGTAGAAATTCAGGGATGATATTTCATGTCAAATGAGGCTCATTTGAGTGATGCATTGTTTGACCATCAGTACTTACAATGGTAGCTGGATTTAGTCACTGAGAATCTTTGTGTGTGTTCAAAAAAAAAATCAACTAAACACACAGCAGCACTAGAATCCTATGGAAACTCCAGCTTAATCCATTACTATATTAATTTCCAGTGGAAAATCTCAGATAGAAGGCTGCTCATATGGATAAGCACTGCCTGAGATTTAGGTTCAACTGCTGGATCGCTCACAGATTCATTATATGATCTTGGGCAAACCACTTAATCTCTCCAGGCCTTAGTCCGCCATCCGTAAAATGGGGATAGTAGTGCTTCCTTTGTCTATTTATATTGCAGACTCTGTGGGGCAGGAATTTTCTCTTGCTATGTGTATTCACAGTACACATGTGTAGTACAATGGGATGTCCATCTTGGTTGGAGCCTCTGCTAACGCAATGCAAAGAAATAATACTAACCTTGCAGTTGTTTTCCCAGAAGGAGTCAGGAAGGAGTTGAACAGGAAGATGGGTCTTTACTAATCGGGGAGAGGGCATTTCAGCCAGCTTTGCGACACCTAAAAAATACAAAAGGGATTAAAGGAAAAAACAGGACTATTACAGCTTTGATCATAAACTATTTACACTCAGAGGGCCACTGTTACGAAGAGAGGAATCGGGCCCGCAGCCTTTAATAATCCTGAGCTGCCATTCTGTATCTCTTTACAGGATGAAATCCAGACAGATGTGGGTAAAGATAGAAGTCAGGGTGTGAACATATAATATTCTATCCCCCTTTTAGGGCGAGATTTACAAAAGAGCTCAGCACCTAACAGCTCCCCTTGTGGACAGTGGAAATCTCATCCGTAGGGTAGGATTTTCAAAAGAAAATATGAGAGTTAGGTGCTCAACCTCCATTGACTGTTACTGGGAATTTGGCACCTAATTCCTATAAACTCTTTTGAAAATCCCACCCTTAATCTATTTGTGTATTAAGTTATTTTTAAAACATTTCAGTTCATATTTAAACTCCTTGTGCACAGGATCCTAATACTATTGACAGTTTGCACTTATATATGGCCAGATCCAGTGGGAATCTTTCCATTGACCTCAGTGTACTGTGGATCAGGCTCAGAGTGCCTTTCATTCCAAAGAACTCAGAGTGGTTTAGAAACAGTAAAGGCTAAATTCTATCCTCAGATTTATACACAGTCAGTGAGATTTTTTTGTATGTATCCGAGGACAAAATTTGGAGCCAGTTAACCAACCCTCCCAAAAGCCCAGGGAGGTAAATAAATATCCTCATATTCAGTTTTGGGCAACACAATTCCTAAAGGGAGGGTTGTCAGAGACGCAGCTCCAATCTCTCCGGGAGCGTGCCTGCAGTGTGCAAAGCTTTACCATTTGAAATTCCAGGGATGATCAGCTCCATGAAAGGGACCCGAACGTAAATCGCATCCTGTTTACACTTCTCTGCATCACCGTTCTTATAGATCATGTCCACAATTTCACTGATCCAGGTTGTGCCTGGAAATATAAAGCAAACTAGCTAAATACTCTTCTAGCGTGCAACAGGCAGGTCATAAACATGGAGTCAGATCCTCAGCTGGTATAAATTGAAGTGAATGGAGTTATGCCAATTTACACCAGATGACAATCCCTTCTAGCCTATGGCTTTTAGCTACAGACTTTGAGGGTGGTGATAATCAGTGCTCCTGGGCTTTCTTGGCCTGCACTTGAATATGTGATGTCAGTAACGAAGTGACTCAAAGGGCCTATCATCGTGGAAGGCCAATATCACCAAACTTGATATAACATCACAATTGTTTCTGCTACTGCCTGAAGACCCAATGCAAATTTCCCACTAGGCTTGTGGGAGATAAACTACTCACAAATGGAGGTGTGAATAGATAGAATCCTGTCACCCTTCAGCGCTGAGCCTATATTGAGGGCAAAAAGCCACTTCATCCATCCTGTGAAAAAAAACCACTCACCTTCGTCTCATGTTGGTCAGAATCAAGTTGGCAATTTCCCTTCCTGAACACTGAGTGAGGGCACTCCAGTGTTAGTCCACAAACTCTATAGCATTTAGCAACAGGAGAGTCTATGGCTAAATGATAGTAAGACAGCAACATGGAAGGAATATTTTGCCACTTTTTGAACACATCCCTGCTAGGACAAAGAAGTTTGTGGTCTTATTCTGTTTCTATGCACAGCATTGTTACAGGGCATGGCTTCTCCCCAGCTTCCAAACACTCCCTGCCCTGCTCAGTCTCCTTTGAGAAGGTTTATTTGCATAACACAGGCAAGAAGAGCAACAGAAAGCAGTCTTTTAACTCATTTTCTTTCAGGCTTCAGGGCCGCCCCTCCCCATGGTCTAGCACTCCTCCTCCTGGTAGTTCCCTACTGAGTTCTAATCAGCTCTGCTCCCTTCCTGGAGCAATAGGCTCAGTGCTGCTTCCCCCAACACCTAGCCCCTTGCTCCAGGGACCCACTGCAGGAGTTAACTCTACTCCACCATGTCTTCCCTTCCCCAGGCACAGCCTATCCAACTCACTTCCTTCACCTCTTATTTCCTGCTCTCTGGGAGCCCTTTATAGGCCCAGGTGTAGCCCAGCCCCCTTTAATTGGCTGGATTGGGCTCACATGCTCTGATGCAGGAGAGCTAGGCCCAGTTCTACTCACGGGGACCAGCTATTGAGCCATTTTCTGGCTGTAAATCTATTACATTCCTAAGAACATAAGAATGGCCACACTGGGTGAGACCAATGGTCCGTCTAGCTCAGTGTCCTGTCTTCCGACAGTGGCCAATGCCAGGTGCTTCAGAGAGAATGAACCTAACAGACAATTACAGTGTGATCCATCCCATGTTGTCCATTCCCAGCTTCTGGCAGTCAGAGGCTAGAGACACCCAGAGCATGGGGTTGCATGCCTGACCATCTTGGCTAATAGCCATTGATGGACCTATCTTCCATGAACTTATCTTGTTCTTTTTTGAATCCCATTATAGTTTTGGCCTGGTAGGCTTCTTAGCTTCTTCCCTACATGACAAGGTCCAGTAAAACCCATGTATACTGCCGTGTTTTGAATAGGGTTCTTCAATAAAAAGGGATCACGAAGGCACAGATGGAGGAGGCTTTGAGTAAGAGATTTCTATACCTAATTGAGGAATTGATAAAGGGGTTATGGTCTGAGTGTGGCATACATGTGGTCTAAGAGTTGGGCAATAGCCTCCATTTCTGCCCTGGGTTTGTGCCTTTTAGCTGCATAAGAAGAATCTCCTGATAGATCAGTGGCACTCACCTGATTTCGGGTAGGTGGAAATGAGAAGGTCATCTGGCCTGGCTTGGAATGATTCCACCTGGGCCCATTCTTCAACAATACTCCAGAATAGGGGAATGCCACGGACCATTTCTAATTTCCTCCTGTAAATACTTTGATTATTTTCCATCCTGGAAATGCTGAGCTAAAGGAAGAGAAAAGAGTGGAAGTGGAAGTGGTTTGCTTCCATTACAAAGTGCTGGGAGACCCTCTCTTCCACTTAGCATTTATTTTCCACAGTGGAGTCTGGGAGACTTGTCAGTATTATATTGACAGGTTTCAGAGTAGCAGCCGTGTTAGTCTGTATTCGCAAAAAGAAAAGGAGTACTTGTGGCACCTTAGAGACTAACAAATTTATTTGAGCATAAGCTTTCGTGAGCTACAGCTCACTTCATCGGATGCATCCGATGAAATGAGCTGTAGCTCACAAAAGCTTATGCTCAAATAAATTTGTTAGTCTCTAAGGTGCCACAAGTACTCCTTTTCTTTTTTCAGTATTATATTGTTAGTGATAACCCAAGCAACATTCATGCCTGTTAACAGTTTTAGGACTCGTGTGCAATGTTGAATATAGCCACTAGCGGGTAACATGGCAAAATAGACTTGAGAAGGTCTGGCCTATCGGCTGGAAGATGACAACACTATTTACATATTCTTTGGGCCAGATCCCCAGCTGGTTTAAAATGGCATAAAGTCAATGGGGCTCTACTGTATGCTACTGAACAGCTGGTCCACAAAGTCCTGAATATTAGAAGAGTTCTACCCTAATGCTCAGCAGCAGAAGTAGCCATGCTGTCAGTTGAAGGAAGGAACAAGATGAGAGTAGTGGGGCCAAGGGCAAAAATGAAGCAAGCAGTAGCATTTTGAACCAATTGCAAACATTATTGAGGAGGCAGGAAGAACACCACTCAGAGCACAGTGGCAAATGACTATAATGTGAACCAGCATTTTGATTCTAGCCAGAACATTAATGGGAATTTATCCATGTTCCAAGAAGAAAAACAACAATAATGATACCTAGCATTTTCTGCCACCTACTCAACATACGGGAGCCTTGGTCTACGCTAGGAGTTGAGGTCGAATTTAGCAGCGTTAAATTGATTTATCCCTCCACCTGTCCACACGACGAAGCCCTTTTTTTCGACTTAAAGGGCTCTTAAAATCGATTTCCTTACTCCACCCCCGACAAGGGGATTAGAGCTGAAATCGGCCTTGCCGGCTCGAATTTGGGGTACTGTGGACGCAATTAGATGGTATTGGCCTCCGGGAGCTAACCCAGAGTGCGCCATTGTGACCGCTTTGGACAGCACTCTCAACTCAGATGCACTGACCAGGTAGACAGGAAAAGGCCCGCAAACTTTTGAATTTCAATCTCCTGTTTGGCCAGCGTGGCAAGCTGCAGGTGACCATGCAGAGCTCATCAGCAGAGGTGACCATGATGGAGTCCCAGAATCGCAAAAGAGCTCCAGCATGGACCGAACGGGAGGTACGGGATCTGATCGCTGTATGGGGAGAGGAATCCGTGCTATCAGAACTCCGTTCCAGTTTTTGAAATGCCAAAACATTTGTCAAAATCTCCCAGGGCATGAAGGACACAGGCCATAACAGGGACCTGAAGCAGTGCCGCGTGAAACTTAAGGAGCTGAGGCAAGCCTACCTGAAAACCAGAGAGGCAAACGGCCGCTCCGGGTCAGAGCCCCAAACATGCCACTTCTATGATGAGCTGCATGCCATCTTAGGGGGTTCAGCCACCACTACCCCAGCCGTGTTGTTTGACTCCTTCAATGGAGATGGAGGCAACACAGAGGCAGGTTTTGGGGATGAGGAAGATGATGAGGTTGTAGATAGCTCACAGCAAGCAAGCGGAGAAACCGGTTTTTCCAACAGCCAGGAACTGTTTCTCACCCTGGACCTGGAGCCAGTACCCCCCGAACCCACCCAAGGCTGCCTCCCGGACCCGCTAGGCGAAGAAGGGACCTCTGGTGAGTGTACCTGTTAAAATACTATACATGGTTTAAAAGCAAGCATGTTTAATGATTAATTTGCCCTGGCATTCACGGCTCTCCTGGGTGTACTCCCAAAGCCTTTGCAAAAGGTTTCTGGGGAGGGCAGCCTTATTCCATCCACCATGGTAGGACACTTTAGCACTCCAGGCCAGTAATACGAACTCGGGAATCATTGTACAACAAAGCATTGCAGTGTATGTTTGCTGGCATTCATACATCCGTTCTGTATCTCTCTGTGTTATCCTCAGGAGAGTGATATCATTCATGGTCACCTGATTGAAATAGGGTGCTTTTCTTAAGGGGACATTCAGAGGTGCCCGTTCCTGCTGGGCTGTTTGCCTGTGGCTGAACAGAAATGTTTCCCGCTGTTAGCCACAGGGAGAGTGGAGGGTGGAGGGGGTAGCCGCGTGGTGGGGGGAGGCAAAATGTGTCCTTGGAACGAAAGCACATGTGCTATGTATGTAATGTTAACAGCAAGGTTTACCGTGAAAGAATGTACCCATTGTTCTATAAAATGTGTCTTTTTAAATACCACTGTCCCTTTTTTTTTCTCTACCAGCTGCATGTGTTTCAAGGATCACAGAATCTTCTCCTTCCCAGAGGCTAGTGAAGATTAGAAGGTGAAAAAAATGCACTCGCGATGAAATGTTCTCTTAGCTCATGCTGTCCTCCCACACTGATAGAGCACAGATGAATGCGTGGAGGCAGACAATGTCAGAGTGCAGGAAAGCACAAAATGACCGGGAGGAGAGGTGGCGGGCTGAAGAGAGGGCTGAAGCTGAAAGATGGCGGCACCATGATGAGAGGAGGCAGGATTCAATGCTGAGGCTGCTGGAGGATCAAACTAATATGCTCCAGCGTATGGTTGAGCTGCAGGAAAGGCAGCAGGAGCACAGACCACCGCTACAGCCCCTGTGTAACCAACCACCCTCCTCCCCAAGTTCCATAGTCTCCTCACCCAGATACCGAAGAACACGGTGGGGGGGCCTCTGGACACCCAGCAACTCCACCCCAGAGGATTGCCCAAGCAACAAAAGGCTGGCATTCAGTAAGTTTTAAAGTTTTAAACTTTTAAAGTGCTGTGTGGCCTTGTCCTTCCCTCCTCCACCACCCCTCCCAGTGCTTCTCTCCTCCACCACCCCTCCTGGGCTACCTTGGTAGTTATCCCCATACTTCTGTGATGAATTAATAAAGAATACATGAATGTGAAGCAACAATGACTTTATTACCTCTGCAAGTGGTGATCGAAGGGAGGAGGGGAGGGTGCTTAGCTTACAGGGAAGTAGAGTGAACCAAGGGGTGGGGGGGTTCATCAAGGAGAAACAAACAGAACTTTCACACCATAGCCTGGCCAGTCATGAAACTGGTTTTCAAAGCTTCTCTGATGCACAGCGCGCCCTCCTGTGCTCTTCTAACTGCCCTGGTGTCTGGATGCGCGTAATCAGCAGCCAGGCGATTTGCCTCAACCTCCCACCCCGCCATAAACGTTTCCCCCTTACTCTCACAGATATTGTGGAGCACACCGCAAGCAGTAATAAAAGTGGGAATATTGGTTTCGCTGAGGTCTAAGCGAGTCAGTAAACTGCGCCAGCGCGCTTTTAAACGTCCAAATGCACATTCTACCACCATTCTGCACTCGCTCAGCCTGTAGCTGAACAGCTCCTGACTACTGTCCAAGCTGCCTGTGTACGGCTTCATGAGCCATGGCATTAAGGAGTAGGCTGGGTCCCCAAGGATAACTATAGGCATTTCAACATCCCCAACGGTTATTTTCTGACTTGGGAATAAAGTCCCTTCCTGCAGCTTTTGATACAAACTAGAGTTCCTGAAGATGCGAGCATCATGTGCCTTTCCCGGCCATCCCACGTTGATGTTGGTAAAACGTCTCTTGTGATCCATCAGTGCTTCCAGCACTATTGAAAAGTACCCCTTGCGGTTTATGTACTCGGCGGCATGGTGCTCCGGTGCCAAGATAGGGATATGGGTTCCATCTATGGCCCCACCACAGTTAGGGAATCCCATTGCAGCAAAGCCATCCACTATGACCTGCACATTTCCCAGGGTCACTACCCTTGATATCAGCAGACCTTTGATTGCTTGGGCTACTTGCATCACAGCAGCCCCCACAGTAGATTTGCCCACTCCAAATTGATTCCCGACTGACCGGTAGCTGTCTGGCATTGCAAGCTTCCACAGGGCTATTGCCACTCGCTTCTCAACTGGGAGGGCAAAGTGCCCTTACGCATACGAAAGTTTTGCAGCCACTGGGAATCATCCCAGACCTGCAACACTATGCGGTCCCACCAGTCTGTGCTTGTTTCCCGGGCCCAGAATCGACGTTCCACCACACGAACCTGCCCCATTAGCACCATGATGCCCGCATTGCCAGGGCCCGTGCTTTGAGAGAAGTCTGTGTCCATGTCCTCATCACTCTTGTCACTGTGCTGACGTCGCCTACTCGCCCGGTATCTCTTTGCCAGGTTCTGGTGCTGCATATACTGCTGGATAATGCGTGTGGTGTTTAATGTGCTCCTAATTGCCAAAGTGATTGAGCGGGCTCCATGCTTGCCGTGGTATGGCGTCTGCACAGGTAACTCAAGAAAAAAGTTGCAAAACGATTGTCTGCCCTTGCCTTCACTGAAGGAGGGAGGGAAGGGGGGCCTGATGGTATGTACCCAGAACTACCCGTGACAATGTTTTAGCCCCATCAGGCACTGGGATTTCTACCCAGAATTCAAAAGGGCGGCAGAGACTGCGGGAACTGTGGGATAGCTACCCACAGTGCAATGCTCCGGAAGTCGACGGTTGCCTCGGTACTGTGGACACACTCCGCTAACTGCATGCACTTAGAGCATTTGTGTGGGGACACACACAATCGACTGTATAAAAATGCTTTCTACAAAACCGACTTCTATAAATTTGACCTAATTTCATAGTGTAGACATACCCTGAGAGGGTCAGACTTATCTTATCCTTAGCAATATATACCTAAATCTTTATTTGAATGAATTGCCTCTGTTTAGATCCTATAAAATTGCCTAAGTTACTACATATAGCCCAGACTTGTATATTTGCACTTTTTTAAAACCCAGCTTGATTGTATCTAATTTTCAGAACAAATTTTGTTTTATGAAAGTTA